TTAGGGATGGCAGGAGACCTCTGCGGATTGTAGCACAGAGATGAAAGCAAAGCAGAATGAAGAGTTTGAATTGATACTGGTTACATTCATTTCAGTTCTAAGTATTTAATATCTAGATGTTTTATGGGATTGTGGATCTTTCAGATCAATTTGACAAGCAATTTTGATAGGTACACTTAATTTTATTGTGTCATGTTGCACAGGGTGCTGGTCTTGGTCTTGACTTGATCTTGTGTTAGGTAGTTTTGACTACAACTCTGCTACGTGGCTCCTCAGTTGCATGTCCTCCCCCACCCACCTTCTTTCCATCCCCTTTCAGTTGGGTTTCTTTCAAAATAAATGCCAGTCATGGCAAAAAAGTGAAGTTCATGCTATGTTAGGACAGGAGACCAGACGTTTCCATCCCTGAAATTATAATGCATAGAATCACATATCTAAATCTAAACTATGTTACAGAAAATAAAAACATGCTTTATCTGCAACATTGCTCATTAAAATGGCACATTACTGATGTATTAAAATTAAACATGATAGGTACACTTAATATTGTATTACCGATTAGGTAATACATTCAGCAAGTACTTTTACTTTTAATAAAAGTATTTTTAAAAGCAGTACTTTTTTACTTTTAAGTACAAATGTTAATGTGGTACTTTTACTAGAGTACATTTTTGTCTGTGTATTTGTACTTTTACTTAATTACATTTTTTGAGTACTTTCTCCACCACTGCCTATCGCTAACAATGAACTAACTCATGTTATTTTATGAGCTTGAATTTCCTGGTAAATAATTTATTTAGCTTCTGTAAACCCAAATTCATGCTGGAGTTGTACGTTAATGTTGAGTCGCTGTCCATTGGATCCAGGTCCAATGTAGGCCAATGATTTGCACCGATCTACAGAAACCCCGTGTTCGTGTCTGTTCGTGACCAGACACGAAGCATGTGGGAGAATAGTAGCAGCTCCTATTTGAACAGTTGGAGCAACCATAAAGGACTCAGACTTCACACATTTTGATGCTGGACCAACAGAAATAAATGGGCTGAATTTACTTCTGGCCCTCCATGTGCATTGGGTGACGTCGGTGCTACGTCATCTGAAACCCAGCAATAGTAGTTCAGGAAGGAAGTGGAGGAGATTGATCGTTTTCACAGATTATCTGTCTCATAATAAATTGTCATTGACATGGTGACAACTTTAACAAATATGGAGAAAACATATTTTTTATTAAAGTTATACTGCAGCTTGAATAAAATGCAACTACATAGCATTTTTTGAGAAGTCTGGATTGCTTTATGTGTATTTTGCACGTTGCCTATGACTGTTGCTCGTGGGGAGACATTTCAGTAATCTAAAACTAATACAAAAACTTTAAGCAACATACTTGCATACTGTATGCGGCTGTTAGATGTAAAATTCATGAGCAGTAAATATTGTGCTAGTATCAGCATCGAACCCAGGTAAGCAAGTTGCAAGCCTTTAAATTTGTAACAGCAGCTCCGCAGTGGGGGCCCAATCAAATTTTTCGTCAGGGGACCCAAGATTCCTGGTGGCGCCCCTGACTGCAGCTGAACAGCGTCGCCATCAAGCGCACTGAGAAGGAACGAACCATTTCATTCACATCCAGGGGGTTCAGGGCAAATATGGATGTGTGTTTTTTGGTCTGGCAGTGGGAATATAAAATTTTTACTGCTCAAAACAATCTTCGAAAACACAGTATGATTAATTTTGTAATTGACAGGGCCCCATTTTTTTTAATTCTATGAAAAAAATAAATAAATTGTGGAGGGTCTCCTGTCAGTCAGTGCCCTTAGAATTGTCATAACTTTTCCCGACTATACTGCGCCCCTGTATATTTATATTTGTATTGTAATAAATTCAGCCAATAAGATGGTGAGAATGCTTACAAGCCCACAAGATAACTATCATTATATTAATATCAATGAAGTAAAGTTCATGAAGACCTTGTCTCAAAAGAGAGGAATGAGAAGCAGGTCATGCTTCTGGAAATTCAGGAGCTTAAGGAGAAAGCTGAATCCAAAAACCAAGGCCAGGTGGGAAGAGATGAGACGACAACGTGCTTCCCCACAATACAGGAACTCCAATAAGAAATGAAGGAGATCCAAACACCATGAGGAAATTGAGATGCTCACCATTGAGTTTGAAATTGATCTCACTGTGGCTCAGAAAGAAGTAAAGAAGCTCCAGGAAAAACTGAAGAACGAAAGAAATCTTGGTGCAAAAAGTGATTCAGCAAAAGGGGAAGCCTTCAAGATTCCCCTAAAATGCTCTAGCTACTGTGAAGGGTTGAAGAAAGTTTCCACTGAACATTCAACAGAAATCAAAGTTCGAGATGAGGACATTCCTTACCTTGATGTAAGACAGCTTCAAAAAATGCTCCAGAGAGAAAGAAAGCTGAGGATTGAGGCATAAAATGAAAATCTGGATCAATTCAAAATTGCTGAGGCTTTCTTTGACATGATGGAGCAACAACTGAAAACCAAAAGGGAGTCCAAATTGAGGTGGACTCTCAAGAGGAAGCTGTGGAGATCGCAGAGCAACTAATTAGAAAGCTTGAGGATGTGGAGAAAACATCCAAAGAGGTTCCCGCTGAGATCACTTCAGATGAGAGGGACAAAATTCAACTGGAGCTTCAACAGCGGGAGAAAACCATCCAAGAAGAGAAAACACTACGGGTCCAGGCAGAGAGGATTTCGTAGAAGTATTGGACCAAGAACTGAAAACAGAACGAGAACTTAGAGCCCAAATTGAGGCAGACAAAGAAGAAGCTGTGGAGATTGCAGAGCTACTAATTAAAAAGCTTGAAGACATGGAGAAAAAGTCCACAGAGGGTCCAGCTGAGACTGCTTTGGTTGACAAAATCCAACAGGAGCTCCAACAGCGGGAGAAAATGCTCCAAGAAGAGAAAAGTCTTAAGGGTCCAACGAGAGACTGAAAATGCTTCTCTCTTGAAGACTGTAGAGTCTCTTCGGCAGGAAACAAAGAGCTGCAGAAAGAAAAAGCTCTAAGACAAGAGTCAGAAAGAAGTAAGTTGGAGTTGGAAAAGGTAAGCGATAAACTTTACCAGGGTTTAGAGAAAGCCTATAAGATGACAGAAACCCTCTCGGGTGATGCCAAACTCCTTACCAACCAGCTTCAGGCAGAGGGCAAGAAACGGAGATCTCTGCTCAAAGATATCCAGGAACTCACCCTCATGCTGGAAAAGGAAAAAGCCCTTAGAATCAAGGCAGAGAACTATGAGATGGAGGCTATAGAGATTTTAGAGAAATCTGAGAAGGAAGCAGAAGAGAAACGCCATCTCATCAAAGTTCAAAGTTAAGACGAGAGGGACAAAATTCAACTGGAGCTCCAACAGCTGGAGAAAATGCTCCAAGAAGAGAAAACCCAACAGGTCCAGGCAGAGAATTTATTAGAAATACTGGAGCAAGAACTGAAAACAGAACGAGAACTTAGAGCCCAAATTGAGGCAGACAAAGAGGAAGCTGTGGAGATCACAGAGCAACTAAATAAAAATCTTGAGGACATGGAGAAAACGTCCAAGGATGGTCCGGTTGAGACTGCTTTGGATGATTGGGAGAAATTTGAACTGGAACTCCAAAAGCTAGAGAAAATGCTCCAAGAAGAGAAAAGTCTAAGAGAGACTGAAAAGGCTTCTCTCTTGAAGACTGTAGAGTCTCTTCAGCAGGAAACAGACAAAGAGCTGCAGAAAGAAAGGGCTCTAAGAGAAGAGGTAGAAAGAGGTAAGTTGAAGTTGGAAAAGGTAAGTGGTAAACTTTACCAGGGTTTAGAGAAAGCCTGTAAGATGACAGAAACCCTCTCGGGTGAGGCCGAACTCCTTACCAACAAGCTTCAGGCAGAGGAGAAGAAACGGAGATCTCTGCTCAAAGATATCCAGGAACTCACCCTCATGCTGGAAAAGGAAAAAGCCCTTAGAATCGAGGCAGAGAACTATGAGATGGAGGCCAGAGAGATTTTAGAGGCGTTCCAGAAAGAAGCAGAATACAGAACCTGGCAGAAGAAAGACTTGAAAGAGAAACGCCATCTCATCAAAGTTCAACCTCTTTAAAGTCATGTGAATAGCTCTTTGTTGTAGTTAGATTATAAGTATTAAATCTAACAAGTATTTTAGATTATTAGTATTTTAATTCATGTAAAGATTACTCTGTTATGTGTCTGTTTCACCACACCTGATTCAAATGATTGCATGACCTCTTCTGCAGCAACCAGATACTGCAGAAGTCTGTCTGTCAATCAGCCATTCATTTGAGTCAGGAGTTTGGTAGGAAGAGGAGACATCTTAAACATGTAGGCATGTGTACTTAAGGACTACAGTTGGGAACCACTGCAACAGCAGTCGATTCCCGGTCTGTCCACCCTTTGCCGTTTTCCCACTTCACCTACCTTGCCTGCTGGTGTTGGTCAGACGTGCCGATGGCGCAAAAATTTGCAGCCTCACTTCTGTCTGCCTGTGGCTACAATCCAGTAGCTTGCCATCAGCAGAGTGTGAATGAGTCCTTTCACTCCCTTCAAATACATGAAGTGGCCTGAAACAGGCCATACAGTGCAGTTTTGTTTTAAATGTCTCAAGTTCTATGTAAATGTTACATTTTTATTGAACTCTTTAATATAAAAATGCTTAAAAAACAAACGACATAAAAGGAAAGGACTTGGCATTCAGCCTCTTTACAGTGAAGAGCCTCCTTGTTTGTTTTTGTTTAAATGTTGAACGTTTTACATCATCATTGTACGTATTCAAACTCATAACGCAATGTAAATAGCTGTTGATTGTGTTTGTCTTTGTTTTAAATGTTGCAAGATCAATGTCAGTTGCATTTTTATTATGTCCTCCTTTTTGTTAAAACAAATGCTAAGAAACTGACAAAATAAAAAAAACTCAACAAAAATGGAAAGGCTGGATCTATTCTGCCTCTTTCCAGTAATGTAAATAGTTTCTTCCTGTGTTTTTCTGTTTAAAGTTGAAAGTTTTATATCATCATTCTATGTATTCAAACTTTAATGTAATGTAAATTGCTGTTGTTGTGTTTGTCTTTCTTTTAAATGTTGCAGATGTATTGTAAAAAAAAAAAAAAAAAAAAAAAAATACGGGAGGAAAGTTTTTTTTTTATTTTTGCTCTATTCCACCTCTTTAATGTAATGTAAATTGCTGTTGATGTGTTTGTTTTTCTTTTAAGTGTTGCAGGCTCTATGCCAATGTTGCATTTTATTATGTCTTTTTATTTAAAAAGAAATGCTATTTACACCACTACACTAAGAAAACAAACAAAACCAAATAAACAAAAATGGAAAGGTTGGATCTATTCCTCCCCTTTACAGTAATGTAAAGGGGAGGAATAACTTCTTGTGTTTGTTTGAAATAAACACAAGAATGTTTTATATCGTCATTCTATGCATGACAATGTAAATGTTTCATATCATCATACATAGACAATATGTTTTATGTCATGTATTCAAACTTCAATGTAATATAAATAGCTGTTGTGTTTGTCTTTGTTTTATATGTTGCAAGTTCTATGTCAATGTTGCGTTTTTATTATGTCCTCCCTTTATGTAAAAAGAAATCAAAAAAACAACAAAGGAAAATAATTTGTTGGTTGTTTTATTTGATCTATGAAATGGGTCTGGTGACATGGGAGAAAAAAAATAGTGGTGGAACGAGAATAATAAGAATGGTAATTACTCATTTATTTCTTGGGAAAGACTTAATTATAACAAGTCATAGCCATGATTTTGTTGTCTTTTTTCCTGACTCCACAGATTTCAGATGTATTCAACTTGACTGATAAGAGCTGGCTAAATTGATTGAAAACATTTTCCACATATTTGGGGCTTTTATATAACATTAGTGTCTGACCTTTTACATTGATTCCCAAACATTCAAGAGAGTCAAATATGCTCAAGAAAATCATTTTACAGTTTGGTGAATCATGAAATATTAAGAAGTCCTAAGCCCCTCTTATGCTTATTGTTCTCACTTAAGAAATTATAATTAGGAGATGCCAATTTGATTAGTACAGATGCTTCATTTTATAAGGTCTCAGCGGTTTGTTGGGAATCATTAGAGAAAGAAAATGCATCATGAACACATCTCGAGTGAAGATTTAAGTACATCTGTAATAAAATAAACTGGAGTAATTAGTTCTAGATTGTAATGAAGTGTCAAAACCTGCAAAATTAACCTGATTCCTACCAGAAGACACCATAACAACTTGGCTGCTTCTTAAGGGTTAAATAAATTGCCACATTGTCAACAGTCACTTACATCTGTGCCTAAAAACTGATACTTGAAAGTTTGGTTCAGATGTGCCTAAAGTCATGCAGGTTGAGCCAATTGAAATTGAAGCATGGCGCCTGGATCTAAGACACAATAGTAAAAAAAACTATTTTATTCTCAATTTTGCTTTAAGCTGTGAAATAATGACAGTCTCTCATCTGTTGGTATTGAATAATGACTATAAAAATGAAAATGTCAAATTAAACCGTATATTTCTGGACAGAAAGGTCTCAAATGTTGCAAATGTGTTCAGACAGCAGAGGTGTTAATCTTTTGAAAGCTGCATGCTAGTTAGAACCATGTCTACTTTATGAAGCCAGAGAGCAGCTGCAGGATTTGTGAGGGGCTCTGTGTGATTTTCAAGCATTTTTTCCCAGCTGCATTTAATGGATTTAAACATTTGGCCAGGTCACACTATAATCCCGAGGACTAAACACAAGCAGAGTGTCACAGGTTTTGCCACTACGAGCAGTTCCACCCAAGATGAAAACATCCATTACATAACAGAGGAATCCATTAAAGCTGCTCTGTATTTTCATGCTTAAAAAAATCATTTTCTCTGAGTTCAGGCAGACATGCGTCATCTGCTTGATTCTTGAATTTCAGCCTGATATGATGCTGATAATCGCCCCCCTCTGAGTCCAGAGCCTGACAGAACCGGTTTGTAGATTCACTGTAAATCACATGTGCACGGCTGCAAGCTGCGACCCACAACTCATTTAAGCTTGAAGAGGATAAATAGTAAACAGTTCACTTCTACAGCAGATTTATACTGCTGCTGTGATTTAGATTGGGAAGGGGAAAAAGAGAACAGAGAAGTGCTCAGGACCCAGAAAGAAACAAGATTTAAAGCATTCTTCTTATTTCACTCAAGCAAATGGTCACAGAGGTGAGCAGAAAGGGGACAAAAGCTTGTTTTCCCTTGCCTAAATCGACAAGAAACAGTTTCATGAATGATGTGGAGTGGGGGGGGACAGTTCAGTAATTTATAAATGGTGCAATAGCGCCCCCTGGCAAGGTTCAGTAATACATGAATACTCAAAAAGACACGGATCATCTGTATAATACTTCTGCTGCAAACATGCTTAACCATAATCAAATATATATACAGACTTATTACACAAACGTTAAAATAAAATCCATTCAAACTGAAAATTGCACTGCACACAAACATATTCCATAAACATATGTTCTGCTCAAGAAGACAAAACGTACAATGTACAAGTAAAAGCCAGCCATGAAAAATCAATGTCCAGTTCGCCAGAAGAGGTGAGGTTCTGCTGCAGAGAAATGGCTTTGTTAAGCTTTGAACTTGTGGAAAATCTCCATCACAGCAATGGTGGTGCTCTGTCCAAAGATGAAAGCTCCAACCACGATTGTTACAACGCCCCAGATGCTTAAAATGTCCCTGCAATGGCAAACAAAACTCAACAAGTCAGAAGAAAGACAAGAAGAACAGCAATCTTTAACTAAATAAGCAGTATTATGCATTTTACAAGCACATTTTATAGCATAATCAAGTAACTATCATGTTTTCTGGACTATAAGCCGCTACTTTTTTCCTACGCTTTAAACATCTCTTTGACAAACCTGCTTGCCTTTATGTTTCTCTTTGAGTGAAAATGTTTCCTCCCCGCTCAGCTCCCATTAAACTTGTGCAGGCTTTTTCTGGCTGTAAAGGCATTTGCTTTCTCAGTAGCAATAGTTTAATGCTCAGTTCATACACAAAAACTCAGAAAATATATCTACAGCATTTCACTATTAGATGATCATCGACAAACTAAAAACAAAAAAATCCAAAAGGGCAATAGGGTATTTATTATAACCACCAGTTTAGGAAATTGTGGATGTTTGCATGCAGAAAGCAGTTTTGTACCCAACACATTGTATTTATGACCCTGTTCATGCTTTAAATAGTGCACATAGTGAATGTAACAGCAATGTGTAAATAGTTTACACTCACCGGAGTCTTGGAGAGACATCTTCAGTCTGCATTGTGAACACTAAGCAAAGACCTGCAGCATACACAGAACACCACAGGACTTTTATTGCATAATCGATCCAACAGTGAAGCAGATTTAAGGTGTAACCATATATTTAGATAATCAGTTTGGTTCTGCTGGACATTTCCTGTCTGCTAAAAAGAGTTTTTTGCTTTCCTCTGTCGCCCTGTGCTTTTTTTTTTTTTTATAAAATGAATAAATGATGAGAATCTTTCAACTATTCAGATTTTCATAATAAAAATTTTCAGAATCTGATTGTATTGAACTGAATTAATATTTTTCATAGACTGAATTTAATTGTATTTGTTTGGTTTGAATGAGCTCCACTGGTTAGTGGATTGTACATCTATGAATCTGAAATAGATTTGTTTAGTTTTTTAATGACATAAATTTCATTGACAGTAGACTCAATGGTCAAACGGCAAATATCAGCCAGTTCCAACAAGAGTTTAGAGTTTAAATGGGTTCTAATTGATAAAATAAAGTTTATGCTTGCCAGGGAAGATGAAGATGAAGAAGGCACTGATTCCTCCAATGACGCTGATGACGTCGGCCATGTCTGGGACAAACATGGCAATCAGAAGCGTGAAGGAGATCCAGGCCACAGTCAGAACGACTCTGCAGCGACTCTCAAACGAATGAGTGACCACCCCCCAACGATTTATTTGAAGTCGTAGCACCAGGTTCAGGATCACAGATCTGTTCCACACAGACACGACATGAGGATCCACAAAACCACACAAACTCCACTCAGACTTGAATTACCTCCCCAGCAGAAGAATAATGGGATATATCGTGATGATTGATACTCCAAACAGCAGCCTGGAGATGATCATCACCACGTCATTTCCAGGATATGACATCAGAATATCTGAGGCTACGCCTTCCCCAAAGGTCAAGAAGCCATACACACCTGGTGAAAGAGAAGGTGGACGTGGTCAGCAGGTGAGAACGTTCTGGAGAAAGGCCGATGTTTGAGAAGTGAACCCACCAGTCAGAGTGTAAGTGAGCAAGCAGAAAAACATGGAGAGCACAGAGATGGCCACCCAGTGGAGGAGATTCTGGTTCTCCATACTGCTGTAGATTGCTATACAGGCTTCATGGCACTGCACTCAAAACACAGAAGGATTCTCATAGACAGAATGAAAAACATAGAATCAATAGCCATCAGTTTGGATGCAGAAAAGGCGTTTGACTCAGTGTATTGGAATTACCTTTATTTAGCATTGGAAAGATTTGGCTTTAATAATCAAATTATAGGCTGTTTTCAGTCTCTGTATGAATCCCCCTCTGCCAGGATTAAGATTAATGGGGACCTAATGGATAGAATACAATTAGAAAGGGGCTGCCGCCAAGGCTGCCCCCTCAGCCCCACATTGTTTGCGTTTTTTTTATTGAGACTCTAGCGCAGGCCATCAGAGAACGCAAGAATATTATGGGTGTAAATATTAAAGGCACAGAGCACAAGATATGCCTTTACGCTGATGATATCCTCATGACGCTAACTGACCCGGAGACCAGCCTACCTAACCTTTTTTCCCTATTGAAAATATTTGGCATGTACTCTGGGTATAAGTTAAATCTGCAGAAAACACAAACCCTTTCATTCAATTATCAACCATCACTAAGAATTCAGAAGCTGTCCAGATTCTGCTGGGACAATAAATGTATAAAATATCTGGGGGTTAATATCCCTGCAGAGTTATCCGACCTTTTTGAATACAATTATACCCCACTGACAGAAGAGATTAAGGCGGATCTACAACGTTGGTCGTTGTTAACTATGAATCTATATAATCGAATAGATATAATAAAAATGAACCTTTTACCAAGGCTTCTCTATCTTTTTCAGGCTTTGCCTATAAAAATACCCGACAGACAATTCCACAACTGGGATAGAATAATCTCAAATTTTACCTGGGCTAAACAAAAACCCAGAGTAAGATTTCGAACATTACAACTATCAAAGGAAAAGGGTGGTTGGGCGTTACCACACATGGAGGACTATTATAGAGCAGCACAGATGAGAGTGATAGTTGGTTGGTGTGATCCAACATGTGAAACAAAATGGAAAGAGATAGACATGTCTTACACTAACACACCCCTACAATCCTTGCTTGGAGATCGTTATCTCATTTAAAAACACATAGATTCTGACCTAATACCCTTAGGAACAAAGGTACCGTTGGACGTTTGGTATAAAATATCAAAACAAGTACAAATTGAAAGAAATGCCCGTATTTTGAGATGGCCTGCCTACGATAGAGATTTTCCCCCGTCAAGACTGGATAGAAGATTTATGCAGTGGGCACAAAAAGGCATAACAAGCTATTGGAAGATTACAAATAACAACGAATTAAAAAGTTTTATACAACTTCAAAATAACTACAACTTGGAAAAACCTGATTTTTATAGGTACCTCCAACTAAGACACCACTACAATAAGAGTATAAAGCGCCTGGATGAAGAAGAGACAGGTATACTTAAAATCCTATTGGATTCAAGTAACGGAAGATCCCCTGAAAAAATAATATCCAAACTATATTCATGCCTACAATTGGGAAGGAAATGTGATACAACATATATCAAGGTAAAATGGGAAAAAGATGCTAAAATATGTAACTCTGCGATTCACACATGAAGTTCAGGCCTTTGGAAGGAATTTACCTGGAAATGTATGGTACGTTTTTTATTACACCGAACATTAGAGGTAAACACTGTAACAACACTGAAAAGGCAAAATGTTGGAGGAACTGTGGGAATGAGTCTGCGGGACATTTTCATATCTTCTGGGAATGTACAAAGATTACACCCTTTTGGCTGGAGGTGATAGGGGAAATCAATGCTAAAATGGACCTGAATCTGCAATATGATGTTGCTGTGGTGCTCCTGGGTGATCTACCCCAGACATTGGAGAAATCGGATAGATATCTGCTCTTGGTACTGTTAGCAGGAGCAAGGAAAGCGATAACCCGCAGGTGGTTGGACCCAGAACCGCTAGCGATCTCGGAATGGAGAGAGATAGTCGGGGAAATCCATACAATGGAGAGACTGACTTTCTCATTAAGACTTGCTACTCACAAATACAACAAATATTGGAAAAAACTGAAACTTCTATAACAAATGATAACGATTGTTAATAGATGTAATTACCGCTTTTTGTTGATTATTACATGACTGCACCTGTCAAACTGAATGCTCTGCGTTTTGTGTTAAAGGGGGATCTGACTGTTCTAAATGTGTATGTGTACTAAAAAACCCTAAAAATGATAAAAAAAAATAAAGTTTAAAAAAACCACAAAAGGATTCTTCATGATTTATTAAATGTGACCTATTAGGCTTTCCTGAACAAGGTGGGATAGGTCTATTGGCTATACAAATAGGTTCATCACATTTTTTTTTTACATAAAAACATTCTTAGATAATGAGATTTTAGTTTGGTCAGTTCTGCCTAGTTTGAGCTCCTTTCAAAATGAGCTGCTTTAGGGCCTCCTGTCACTTTAAATCAAAATAAGCTGCTGCTGGCCACGTCCCCTAACTCAACACTTGCACATGAAAATGGCTCCAAATAGATGCGCAATTATACAACTATACATCTTAGACTCTGAATAACACCCAACGGCAGAAGTGGAGCCAACAAAAATGCAGCAAGTTGTTTCTAGATGGTAAGTGAACTACTGTAAACTACTATAAATACTTGTCTTTTCCAGCAGCCCTTGAACAGAGTATACTGACCAAACCTGCCCGAATTCCTCTTGGGTTGCTAGGTAACGAGGTTAGGCTTCCCTGGGGTTGCTAGGTAACGGTGTAGTGCAGTGGAATGTAACAGCAATCGGGAGATTTTTTGAAACTGCTCATTTTTCAGACACCAGAAACATTAACTTATTTTCAGAAAACGTCTGGGTGGTTTGCTTAAGCGCTTGGCTGTTTTTACAAGCAGTTGAGGCCTAATTGGAAAAATAAAAACAGGGAAAATGTCCATTTTTTTGTTGAAATCCAGTTTTCTGACACTGGGCAACACGTTCAGTAACAATTGCATGATGTTGTTCCTTTGCAGCCTAATGTCAGAAAATCCATCTCCCTCAGACTGGCCCAAATATAATAGAAAGCCTTGATGATTACATTTCATTTGATATATTTTAGGCATTGCTTCGAAGGGGAAATTATGTTATTGGTTTTTGTGTTTTTGAATATAAAAGAGGATTTGAAAAATAACCCAACAAAATCAGGAATCATTTCTCGGAAAATCATGTCTTAGTAAAAGAAAGTCGTGCAAGACAACAGGAAGCTAAAGGACATTGTGCTTTTCAGTGACAACTTGAATGTGGTTGAAGATGATCGTACCTGGAAGCCAAAGCAAATGGTTGGTACCACACTAAACATGGAGGCCCAGGAACTGACTCTGAAAGATACACATATTTACTAAAGTACATTAGATAAAACGATAGACATGTACACACACAATCCAAGAAAAATGAGAGGTGCTGACCCTCGGCTTTGCTCTGTGTAAGTAATCCTGTGGCTGTCCATTAGATAATACTTGACAACGACTGCGACACAGAGATACGTAGCAGCAAGCGTCCCTAGTACACTGACACAAAAAAAAAACATTCAGAAAATTAAATAAATATATATGTGTGATGTTATCAGAGGTGAGATAAACACAGAGTACCTTGTGTATTTCTGTATGCCGATTTCTTTTGGGATAGACAGAGGCAGGATGATGAGAAGACACATGATGAAGAGGGCGAAGCGCTGGTCAGTGTACCAGTGGTAAGGCATGTCTGCCTCACTTGATCCGGTCACAGTCTCGTATAAAGAAATACACACTGAAGAGAGAGAAAGAGACAAAAAGAATCCTGTAAAGTGAAACTAAGCTTTTGTTTACATTCTGTTGCAATCTGAAGGGACATCGTATAAATGGCTAAATTTTGAGTGACAACTTATAATTAACATAGCTACATTGGCCTCGAATACTCCAACTACTGTAAATGTTCAATGAAAAAATATTTTTGCAGTCAGACTGTAACCAAAGCAACGTATTTTGCAGATTAGTTTGCAAATATCTTTATTTTAAAGAGCCAATGTTTGCTACATGACCCAAGGACCTGCAGGCTGGCTTTGGAGCAAATATCCAAGTCAAAAGAGGATTATGACACAAAGCATAAAAAGTATTTTTGATGCATTAATAGTGAAGCTAAATATCAGAAAAAAAATGAAAAAAAAGCTGAACATTTGCTGCCTGAAACAGCTCAAAGGTAAAAAAGGAAAAAGAAAAGCACAATATCTGAAAGCTGAAAAAGAACATCTTTCAGAGCAGGAGCCAAGTTTTAGTTTCCTTGACAGTCAAGGTCACCAAGTTCATCAATGACACCCAAAATCTTACCTGAGTTTACATGAGAAAGCGATAAAAAACATAATTTTTTCAAAACATAAACTAGCTGCTGAGCTAGTTCTACTTTTACTTACGTTTTTCCAGTTGGTCTTGCACCACCACCAGGAAGGCGACGCTTATCATGAAGAGGTTGAAGCAAAAACAGACTTCACAGAGCTGACCCACAGCTCGTCCACACACCTCCCTCACTACGTCCTGATAGGTCTTCTGTCTGCTGACGGACGACGCATAACCCAGGATGACCAGACCGCTGATGAGAAACACCAGAGACACCTGCAGAGGATAACGATGAAGAGTTCAACACTAATCCATACTTGGTGTCACTGCCGCTTGAAGATTTTAAACCTATGGCCATGGACACACCTGTGAATGGTGTACCACAGCCTGTTTTCTCAAAATTACTTAATTTTTCACAATAACTACAACAGAAACACTAACCTTGGCATCAACACCATCACTTAAAAATGAGAAAACAAAAAAAAAACAAATAATGAAGTTGTCTTAAGAAACCACAATCCAACTTATTTCACAGCAACTAAGACAATGCTATGTAAAGAAGGAGCTCCAACCTCAAGGGAATCATTAAATTAAATCCCTCTAAAGACTGTAGAAATTAGCGACTAACAAATCTTGCTAAAAGTTACAACCCTCTTGGCAGGGGAGATACAAGCAAGAACCCAACCCAGAATTACTACTGCTAAAAAACATTAACTTGTGATTTACTCACAGTGAGACAACATTTTTCATAACTATGACAATTTACAAAAATTAGGAAATTTTTAATCAGATAAAAGCAAAATGACCCAAATAATTGTCACTATAAACACACAATACTTAAAAGGGTCACACCTATGAGGGTGGTAGCACGTTTGTTTTTGTGCCTCACATGCTAACAAATTAGAAATGATATTATGGACCTGAACAGGTATTAAGATTCTGTAAATTAGGAGCAAAATCCTGGAACAAAAACATAAAATTCAGACTCTTTGCTCGTTCTTAGAAAGCATGTTTTACAACAGTCAGAAGCAGTTCAGTGAAAGTCCACACTAAAACCTGAGGCTTCATTAGAGCTCACCTGTGAAAAAGGGGGCCTCTTTCACACCAAGAAGAGAGAGAGAGAGAGATGGTTGCAGGTTGCTGGCCATTGCCTTCATTGCGATTCTCATCTCCCTTCACTGCTCTGTCTGGGATTTCTCCAATTGAAGTGGATTTCTCCAGCAAAATTTCAATCAAGCTATTAGTTGTAAATGACGATGTCGATTTCTTGCTCTATTTTAGAACTGTAGTCTGCCTGTAGTTTTAGCAATGGTGGTGGAGGAAGTGAATGAAGTCATTCAGTTGGCTGCACTTCACATATTTAATTAACATTAACAGCTGCGTTCTTCAGCTCAGTACTTCTGTCTTTGCAGTGGGGGATGTTTTTTTTATTATTGAAAGATTTGTTCAAAAAACAAGGCAGTAATGCAAATAAGTATTCAAATACAACTCAGAAATCAGAGTTATAGGTGAAGAATAGACAATAAACTAGAAGGGGAAGGAGAAAATAAAGCAAAAATAAAAAGGAAGAGAAAAAGAAATAAAAAAAGCTCTGAAAACAGTATGATTTATGGCGACAAAACTGATAAATTATGTTCTACAATAATGTTGAGAAGTTTCTTAGCATTAAGATTCACCATTAGGCCACTTTATGGGGTTTTATGTAACACAATTCACTGAACACAAAACTGAGGAGACATTTTATTAAATGTAGATTTGTGTCAGCACAGTGTTCACAAAAAGAGAGGGTTGTTTTACAGTCCAGGATAGGACAAAAAAAAATCTTTCTGACAGGATTTTGGTGCAAGTGATGATTGTTTAGCTTCGTAGCGAACTGGCGCACTACATCATGGACAAATATTAGCTACTTTGTTACATTTAAGACTTAAGAGTCCTGGCCGCCAGCAAGCAATAAAATCCTATTGGACCGCAGAACAAATAACGACATTTTCACCATTACCTCGAGTTGTTTTCCCATACAAAAACTGGCGGCTGTTTGCTCACCGGAAGTACGTCATCGCAATTTTTGTCCGAAGCGAATTGTAGCCACCAGCATAAAAACTTACCAAGTAAACTTTCTAACTGAAGGCTGAATTAGATGGAAAGCCCAGAATAACTAGCTTTGAACTCACCAGCTCCACAGTGATGGCGGTGTTCACACCCCCAGCCTTCCTAAAAGCCCAGGGGAAGTTGAGCAGTCCCGCTCCCAGCGCGGACTTCAGCATGATGAACACCGCTCCAAACGAGCCGAGCCTCGGGGGATCGGCTACAGATGCAGACCGGACCAACAGGCTGATGCTCTCCCGGGCCAGTTCCTCCATGACACCGACCCAGTTTAAACACTCAGCACCAGAACCAAAGGACACGTTCCCAGACAGGAAACCACTATGAGCAACTGGTGTGTGGGGAGTATGTAGACACACACAGCCTCACTTACGTGGTCTTAATTTTGAATGTTAAGCATTTCACACTGGGGTGAAAAATGTGACACAATAGTGAGCGTTTGCTTGTGTTCAGTCAACCGCTGTCCCTTTATGTTCATTATTGGCAACAAGAAGCGTCTGAGATGTGCTGCGAAACAAAACACAACTGCAAATGAGGGCATGGACTGTGTAATGGAAGTCTTCCCATGTAAATAATTTACTATAAATATTACACTGAGTTAAAATGACAATGAGAAACAGACAAATATTTTTGTTGTGCCTCCATGTTATTGTGGGTAGGCGTGTTAAACAGGAGCAGCAGCAGGTTAGCACACATCACTCTGGGTTGCTGCTGAGACCTCATGGGTTTTTATGCATTTATATGTGTTAAATGTTAATAAAAACCTAGTTGGTCTGCTCCTTCTCTCTGCTAACGGGAAGATTAGCCATGTTAACGTGCTTTAGTCATTGCAAAGATTATAGTGGAGAGCTAACTGGCGCCACTTCAAATAAACTACAAATCTTAAATTGCTTGTAATGTACCGCATTAATAGTTTAAAAATGGACTCTTATTGTTTGTTTTGTTCTAATTCAAATATGTGTAAAGTTGATGTGACATACAGCTTACAGATTTATGCTCTGATGCACCTAAATCCTTCCATATGGATAGAACAATCCACGGCACGTGGCTTTCATAATCCCTGACCAGCTTGATGCTGCATGGCGCCTGCTGTGGACGGAAAACGTTAAAATAAAACCCCTGCCTGTTGTTCTGCATCTTATAACACTCAGAGGTCGTGATGATGACTCTTCATTTTCCATTTCATTGGCCTTAGTCATGATAAGGACACTTTAAAGTGATTCAAACAAGCTCCAGGTGGCGTTTAGAGAGATTAGATATGTTTATGGATTTACAGTTGAAACCAGATATTTACATACTCTGAATAAAAAGATCCACACATTCTTTTCTCACTCAGACTAAACTTCCTGCCAAATTTATTTCTACTTGCTAAATGCTACAAAACTTAGCGAGTACATTTTGGTGTTTTGTTGTTGCTGGAACTTTTTTTTTAATTCAGAGGTTTTAACATTGGTGCTTTGATACCAGGCATAACTGTCTTTTAAGCTCCATGACTTGGGTCAAAAGTTTACATTTCAGACTCATTTTGCTTGCATGTGAATGAATTTAACTAGTTTAAGAAGTCAAACATGATTAAATTCAGCTTACATGTGCAAAGAAAACAAGAGATACTGGGAGCAAAACTAAATAACCTGGCAAAACATCATCAATATACTAATTTGGTAAATGACATCATGACTTAAATATGTTTTTATTGGAGACAAAGTGATATGAACGATTAAGATTCATGTTGGAGATGAACAGTAAACATGGATTCATTTTTTATTCTTGCTGTTAGTTATTCTATTGAATCAGAATAAATTTAAAATCCTTAGAAATATAAAAACATCTTCTGTTTCTTGTTTTATTATATAATGGAGATTCGTATTGACAAAAGGATTTATCGTCCAGGTAGATTTTTATGAAACAGAGAAAAATCTAATTTAATTTAACTTTATATCACTAAAATTCTATCATCCAGTCATTCACACACAAACACTGATTTTAAAGTTTTACTCTAAATTAACACTTCAATAGGCTTCAAATGTTAGGGGATAAAGTTCAGTTTGTTCGTATAATTTATCTCTGACGTGTGAGGAACAAAACCATAGTATTCTTGTATGTCAGTGGTGACTTATAAGACTGTTGATAGTTACTCATTATGCCCAGAATAGATTGAAAATATTCTTATTCTCCCTCAGAGGGGAAATTCAAGCCTTACACCAAATTTTCAAAAAGCTCTGAAAGTCCAGAAAAATGAAGTCTGACAGATTTCACACATCCTGATTTTCAGTAACAAGGATACTCAGATGAGTTTGACTGAGAACCCGATGCACTGCTAATCATCCTCCACCCGCGGAGATGAAGAGAAATGTAAAGGTTTCAAGGTACGACCCGCTTCATCGCGCATTAGAGGAGAAAGACAAGATTAATCTGCTCATGAATCTGCCGTTATGAAACGGCTTAAGAGTATTAAGTTTAGCATACATGCCCACCTCCTTGTTCCACCTACGCACATTGATACAAGTGAGGCTGAATTCGCTCTTAAAAGAACTGCTTTATTCCTGTTCACACTCCTTCGAATCAGCAATTAGTTTGAAAATCAGTTTTACACAAAGAGGCAAACAAACCATGACAAGAACGCAGACGTGGAAGGAGCTCCAGCAGTTTCATTTACAGGTATAAAAGTTTGTTGTTTTTCTTTAAGAGGAACCTCTTTCTTTTAGTTTTCTTTTAAAATCAGAACCTTTTAATAAAATAGGTTCTGGGGGGGGAAAGTTCAACTGAATGATGAGGAAGAAAAGTCATTACACATCCAAATTTAGAAACAAGAAGGGTTTAACTTTCTGATTATTCAAACTCGCTACACAGCAAAACATTTTGCACACAGCTGCCGCTGCATAAACATGAAATGATTACATGTACAAAAGGATTTACAGCATTGTTTAAAAATCTCATTTTCTTTGTGAATTTCTCTTCAGAAGTGGAAAACAGAAAACAGTTTCTATCAAATATTCCTGCTGGATTCAGGTTTTATTTCAGATGTTGTTGTTTAAACAATTGCTTAATAAAAAATCTGTTAAAGGAAGAGGATTGGTTGGCAGAAAGTAAGTTCCAGCACAGAATATTAAACTTTTAATATTTATCTAATAGCTGAATGGGTACAGTGCTTTGCAAAAGTCTTGAATCTCTCATACTTTCTTTAAATTTGCCTCAAATGAGCCAATCTTCTACTGATCTTGATCAGAATAAATTTACTTTCAAGTTTTTTCTACTCTGGTTCCATTTTTACTTGCATTTGTGTTATTTTAGGACAGATGATCAGAATAAGTTAGAAAACCCGACACAGAACTTGAGAAATGCATCATTATCCAATTTGTAGTCAAATCTGTCAACAAGCCTCATCTAAAAACGCTTAATACTCTTTTAGGATGCCCTTTGACCCCATGCAGGTGGTGGGAGACAGGTGGACTTTAACGAGGACATTAATGGACGATGTCTTACACTCTGCGCTTGACGATGGGAAGCTCCTTCAGTGACAGACGGCTGCATCAAACTCAATCAGTGTTTTCATCCCTGCTGATGTTTGCACTGATTGTTTTCACTTCTGGTAAATGTTTGTTGTTGCTTTTGAAACAGTTTTTTAAATCATCTTATTCAACTGCACATTTATGGTTTTTATTAACTGTGCAGTCTTTTCTTATGTTGTAAATTAGCCCTCGTTGAACAGCATGTTATTGCTAGTTCTGCTTTTATGTTTTTGTTTTTGTGTGATTCTACATTTTTCGACCTGCCTGTCGCTTTGCTGCTGGTACACCTGAATTTCCCCCCTTGAGGAACAATAAAGGACATTTATATTCTTTTATGTTCTCTTCTCAAGAGATGCTGAAATGTAATTCTCTGTGTCATGGGGTCTTGTTTTCATAACAGGCTTAAAACTAAACACAAAATACTTGGAAAACAATTTCCTAGACAACTTTAAAAATATTACAAAAACGTCTAAGTTCATTTCTGAGAAATATGAAGAAACTAAGAGACCCAAGACTTCTGCACAGTATCAAAAATGCCCCCATCTTAAATGAAACAGAACAAATCCAATAAATTAAATTCAACCTTTTCAGAACTGAAAGTTCTGACATCTTCTCCACTGTGAACTGGACAGCAGGTGGAGCAGTGACCATCAGTTAGATAAAAACTTTTATATCTATAAACATTAAACCAGAAACTTTGCTGCAGGCTCTCTGAAGAGCAAATCCACAAGAGCACAGCATTCACTCCGGACTACAATCACCCAGCCTCTCACGGTGGCATCTCCAGTCTAAAAGCCTGCAGCTTGTTGAGTCTTTGCTGCGTGAGCGTCTCTGTTGGCGGTGACTAACTCCTGAGGGACAGCAGCAGCAGCATGCTGCACACAGGCAGCAGCGCTGAGATGCTGGCCGAGCCGTGTTTGTGTGCACGGCCCTTCAGAGTCTCCTTGTTCGTCTGGTCCGAGGTGGCAGGCCTGTCGGGTGCAGGCAGAGCGCTGGGGGGGAGGGTGGTCCGGCTGGCGCACATGTCGTAGAGGTTTCCAGAAAACTGGGTCTTCCTGGACTCTTGTCTGAGAGACTCCCAGATAGCTGCCGCTTCCCCTGGACAGCCGGCCAAGGCGGCGCTGGCGCAGACATGGAACGTATTCCAGGACCTTCAAGAGGAGAGGATAGGGAGAGTAAATCTGAATGGAAACCGAAAGCGTTCGGGTCTCTGTAGGAGAGAATGTGTTGCAACCACAGATGTGGACGGATTCCAGTAAGATGGACCAACAGAGTTATGTGTTTTCCATTTCATAGCACAATCAAGTAACTGTGTTAAGAAAATGCTTTATTTATCATTTATCAAGTATGTTTTTTTTTTCTTATGGCTAAATTAGGGTTAGAGTGTGGGTTTTGATGTCTTCGATGTTTTTGATGTTTTTATCTTTACTTTTCATCTATTTATTAATGTCACATACTGTTTTTATTTCTTCTTTAATTATGTAAAGCACCTTGAAATGCCTCGCTGCTGAAATGTGCTATACAAATAAAATTGTATTGATTGATTGATTGATCAAATATGACTTTAAAAACATTGGTTCTCTGTCGCTTTAAAAACTCCTGATCTTTCCGAAACTCCGCCTTCAGGAAGTCATCACAACAACGCTCATCTATTAACCTTTGAACAACATTTTCACCAGCAGTGCACTGAAAAGTGGCTCCAATACTGAGCTCAGCAGATGTGCAGGTTCACCAGGTGTTTGCTAGTTGCTGCTGGCTAGTCTGAAGGAGCTGAGTGGGGGAGTATTATTTAATATTTAATCTTACAGCAATAAAATCAGGATTTCGGTCAGACTTCATTTGAAAAACCAAACGTACTTTAGACTATAACTCAACGAGTAGATGGGATCCTCGTTGCCATGACAACAGAAGAAAACAAGATGGTCGCTTTGTGTTGCTACTAATATTAGATTTTAATTTAAACGTAATAGTTTTCTACTAATTTATCCTTGAATTGTGGTCAGGGGGCCGCACATAATCACTCCGTGGACCACAAAAGGCCCCTGAGCCCCACTTTGAACACCCTTTGATCTCAACCCTTCTGTTGTTGCTCTGGCTGCCTGGTTTGGCTTATTGTCAAGCTGGAAGCTAAAATATCTGCTTCTGTGTCAAGTCTTTTGCAGTTTTCAGAGTAATTATGACATGATCTGAAAAATGCAAGTTTTTTAAACAATGGCTTTCTTCTTCACGTTTAAAAACTTTTGAGTTGTTCTCCATCATCTTTTACAAACATTGGTATCACAATTTTGAAGACATTTTTTAATATTTCTTCTGACTTTCTGAAAGTCTTTTGAAGCTTTATTTCATACTTTTGAAGCGTATGAACTTGATTTTACAGTTAAACATAGCTGCTTTCTTAGGTAATGTTTCATTTTGTTTGTTTTTGTCTTGTTAAGGCTCTTAACTTTGACGTATGAATCAATTGGGTATAAAAAGGGGATGAACAAGTGTCGTGTCTACACAGCAGACAGTCTAGAAAAGATCCAATTCTACATCAGATATTTATATTTAGGCGCTTTCTTTCCAGCAGCCTGTCATAAAAACAATTTAGTTTTGCTTCTGTGCACTTTTAAAAGTTTTATTGTATAAATAAGTGACAGAAAAACAAAAAAGAAGCATCCAGAGACAATAGATGTTAATTGAAAAAAATCAATGTAAAGAATATTTCAAAGCTTAACCCAAATTCAGGCGTAAAAAAGCACAAGATATTGTCCTAATATTTATGTATATTAAACACAAAATCTGTACAAGCGCACTTTAACAATACAAACTTGTTTATATATATATGAGAGTACATTCCCTATTTATTTTCAGTTGAAAATTTAATTTTTTGCTATTGTCTTAATTGGGTTGTATGTGCTTCTGTGCAAATCTTTGAATTTTCCCACTGAAAAACAATTTTTCTGGTAATTTATTCTCATTCACAACTCCAGTCGACACAGAAGGTGTAACAGCGTAAGTAATAAAGGGAAGCAACGTCACACACACAAACACACACCTGCAGATTGAGTCGATGTCCTGTGTGTTCTGGTCTTTCTGTGTTTCCACCAAACTGTCCCCGAGTGAGATGAGACACTGAGCGAAGCTCTTGTAGATGGTTCCACATGCAGCGGGGATGGCAGCTCCCAAACACACAGGAGCCAAACCTGGAGGAGGAGAAAACCAGAGATATTATTGTTTAATGATAAACATGGAAGATACAGCAAGAGATGACATGTTTTGGTAACAAAAAGAAATCCATCTGATACTCAGATGGATCAACCGAATACAGAGATGTTCTAGTCTATTCATCTGGACAGATTACGCTCCATCAAGGCCAAAATGTTTACAAGCTGTCTGAGTACATTGATCAGCTCATAGATTACACATTTCCCTGAGGCTGTTTAAGTCAGCACTTTAACTCAACTATCTAAATACAGCAGGGGAATAAAATACTTTGGGTTAAAGATCTCCTCCTGGTTTTGCAGGATTTTTTGAGTTCTTCCAGGGTCAGGAGTGCAGCACTCAGCTTGGGGACGTTTCATCACTTCCTGCCTCCAGCACATAATTTCTGTTTGTTGATTGATATCATTTTAATGCATTGATTGCTCCCTGGGCGCTAATACTGTCTGTGTGCGGCGAACTCTGGATCTCCCCTGAGATTCTCATCATTTCTGTCTCCATGAGAGTCAGAGTTATGAATAAATGTTTAACCTTACAGAGGGACAGGGATCATTTTATTAAAGTAAAAACAACATAAAGGACACCTGGATTTTAAACACAAACCTTTTTTTTATTTATTATCTATTTATTTTACCCTGAAATGTTTCACTCTCTTATAATTAATCATTACAAATTCAGTCATTTTTCTACTTTTTTCTAGTTTTTCTATAATCAGTCTCAACAGACATTTTCTATTGTAGGACAAAGATAATATATTTGAACAAATCTACCGCTTTGACTGGGCTAACATGTCTATGAGGGTTTCATGTAGGTTTTGCGATAGATTTGAAGTAGGACTGGACTCACATTGGACTTCTTGTATGATTTTAATTATGATGTGTTTTAGCAGAACCAGTCAGGCACCATAATTATAGTTCAACAACAAGTTGAATAACTCTTCTGTTTAACGTACAGTTGTCTTGTATCAAATCAAAAATAAACAATTAAAATAAAATGCTGTAATTGCTATTATTTTAAAAAGCAGGAACCGCTGCAAACATGTTATAACTATAACAGTTATTATAACTATGTGTGTTGCTTTAGCTAGCGATGTGCTACTAAATGAAAAACAGAGAATAAAGACCAGATAATTTTAGCAGTAATTCAATAGTTTTCAAGTAGATATGGTTGCTGCATTGGATGTTATTCCTTTTTAACGTTTTGTCTCTTACAGTGTAAAAACACACTAAAAAACTGATCTCAGCTGGTTATATTCCCAACTGTAGCTTCAAATCATTATTACCTTAATAAATAACAGGCAGCTCCACAGCAGTGTGCAGCAACAGGTGGAGGAGGGGCAGAACTGCAGGACTCCTTCATAGAAAACTACAGCTTGCTTTCTTTGACATTTCATTACAATAAAATGTAATTATTTCAACATTACACCATAAAAATACCTTTTCTTTTCTGCAGCGATCCTCCCAGCTATTATTAAGGTTCAAACAAAACATTGGCAACAAAATGCTTAAAACAGCTAAACCATAAAACCACTAAGTCTGCTCGCTCTGCTTTTTATTCGCTCTTCTTAAACTTTCAGCAGTATAGGTAACAAAATACTTTATTGCCAAAGATTCCTCTAATTATTGAAGTGCATAATTTTACCTGGGGATTGAATCTGTTGCCTACATTTGGGCCCAGAACTTTAATAAGAACACAGATTGGCTTCACAATTGAAAATTTCTCCTGTAACAAAAATAACCTACAGCTGTAGTTGTGATGATGTCATAAAATAAATCTAAATATTTTAGTTTCAGTCAGCTGGTAAACTTGAGGTGTGCAGTACTGCATGTTTTGATATCGATCAGATACCAAATGAATACAGAGCCAGCATCACCAACATCAATACTGATACTTTTTATTTGAGTTTGATGTGTCATCTCTTTTAGGTGTTTTTTATTTTATTATTTTGTTCAAATTTGGCACAGAATTTGGACAAAGTTATAGGTATCTAGAAAATACTTTAAAACCGCATTAACATTTCTTGTGAACATTTACTCCTAAATGAATAAATAAAGTGCAAAAAATTATTTATGAGCAAATCTATAAAAAGTCTGTTTGGAGGTAGATTTGAAAAACTACAACACAAAAATAAAATTTCAAGAGGGAATCTAAAACTGAAGTATCGATCTTATTCTGGTCCTTATTTGTTATTGATATTATTTTGGATCGATCCAAACTGATATCGATTCACACGTAAATAACTTTCTTTAGTTGTAAGTTTACTTTTATTTTCCTGCTTTTTGGCTGTAAATTTGGCAAACATAAAGGTAAGATAAGGTAATTTTATTTTTATAGCACATTTTCAGCAACAAGGCAATTCAGTAAACTGATGTTCAATTCGATTTACGGTAAATTGTAGCTCTTCCTTTGATTTTTCATATATAAATGTCAGCAAAACATTTATAAAATTCTCATTCAAATGTGTAAACTTTTATCTTCACACTATCTCAAACTATCAGAAGCACTTTAACACGAACATCTCAGTAAAATAAAAGCATAAATTAGACATAAATAAAACTTTTCAAGCAATAAGAAAGGTAAACGAAACCAGCTTAAAGCAGAGCAACATCCTTACTGAGGCAGAGAGCAATGGGCAGCAGCACGGCTGCAGCTCCTGGACGGGACTTCATGGCTGGGTTCAGGAGCCGAGAACCACCTCTGACCCGGACTGAAGCCCCCACAAGCTGGAGGTCCAAAAACAGACGAAAACGCTGGTGCTTTAAAATGTTCTGTCGCTGTCAATCCGTTGGGAAATTGGCAGATTGGGGAAAGTACGACAATGCTCAGAGGCACAACCGAGCTGGATTAACAGTGACAGAGACCAATGCATCATGCAGAGCAAAGAGGATGTCAGTGTGTGTGTGTGTGTGTGTGTACGGCGGGACCAATGACGGCATCCCAACACGGCTCAGTGGATTAAAGCATTCTCATTTCCGGTATTTCAGTATCTGGAGCATTTATTTGAAACACAAATGAATTATGTGTGGTTTAATGGTGATTGTGTTCTCAGCCACACACGGCTGCTGGCATCCCTGCACGCTGCTTTTATTCTGAAACAAGGAGCTTTTTATGACAGTGCTGGACCGAAACATTTCACACAGAAGTGTGAAACGGATTTGTGGTGTTTTGAGACTTTATTTGAGCAGATGGGTGACGTCCCAGGGAGGATAGGTTCATCCAGCTCACCTGGGAATCTGACGCAGATCCAGGCTGGTTTGGGAGAATAGCGTCCGCCCATGGGACAGTCCCTTCATACACCTATATGGGTCACCCAGGATCAGTGGTAAACATTCCTACATGACACTAAACAGTTTCAGAACTAACTAAAACTACTTTGATATATTTTTTGTAAATCATTTTCTTCCCTCTGTGCCCTCCAGACAACTCAAATTCATTGTATTAAACACAAGTTAAAATTTCAGATTTCTATCAACCGATATGATGCATTAGAAGCTCATCACCAAGTTGAGACAGAAGGAGATGCTTTAATAACTAGAAGCTAGGGCTGCAACTAACAATTATTTTAGTAAATGATTGTTTTATCAACTATTCTGACAATTAGTCGGATTTAAAAAATCCCATTCTGCAAGATTTTTCATTTAACCACTTAAATCTGCACCACTTAACATCTTTAAAAGATATTTTTTAAATATTTTTTTAAACTGTCACTATATTGTGACAGTATAAGACAGATAATCTGAAAAAATCCTTTGTGTCCTCCCAGTGCTCCAAGCGTTAACTAGAAACAGCCAATCAGAGCCAAGGGGCGGGTCCTAGCGCTGTCAATCACCCCTCCTTTGCTGCTCTCTCCCTTGGTCTCTCAGCTACCACAGTCTGTCATGAATGCTCAGTTGTTTCTTCGCCCTCAGCATTTGGCACATTTAGCAGGGAGTACATGAGGATGATTGACAGCGCTAAGAACCTCCTCCTGGCTCTGATTGGTTGCTTTTGATCGGGAGCTATGAGACAATAGTAGCTCAGGGATGAAATGGAGGAGATTGATCTTTTCACTGATTATATGTCCCTTATTATATAAACTGCCACCACATTGTGACACTTTTGATATATTTTAACAAATATAAAAACATATTTTATGTAAAAGTTACATACTGTGCCTTTAACTGTCTTAACTCAATTCATATTAAAAAATACTTTATTGATCCCAGAAGGAAATTAAATCAGAACATGTCGGTCCGGGTTTCTCCCATGTTTCCCCGGAGAGCCGCTGGGACGAGCGCAGATGTCGCCTCCGTCAGCTGGACCTCAGCGGTCGGTAGCAACAGCTGCGAGCTGATTTACCATCGGAGAGAAAACAGCTGCTGTATGACTCCAGTGGACACCAAATCACAGTTTATCTCTGGGCCCAAGAGGCGGCACATCGGACCGACGTGGGACCGTCAGATTACAATAATTGCAACGCGGTCACGTGACCTTTTAATAGATGCAGTATATCGGTTTTTGTCCTCCTCTAATCTCGATGCTAAAGATGATGAAGAACTGAATTCCTTTAAATAAAGGCTAAAACCACATTTGTTTAGAGTTTACGTTAATTAACTGGAAGGTTGAGCAATTCTGTAATCTATTTTTAGGTTTTCGTCACTTCCTTTATTTTACCACTGCAATGTGACGTTTCTTGCTTGCGCCTTGTTTTATTTTTATTTAATTTTTTTCATCGCGGAAAGCACTTTGAATTGTTGCTGAAATGTGGTAAATAAATATTCTTTGAGCTCTTTGCTCCATGTCTTACCTCCTTCGCTCTCTCCGCATTTCCTGTCTGATTATTGAGAATAAAGGCCACAAGTTCCGCCAAAGCTTAAAATCATCAATCATTTAACAAAACTGAGGTAAAGGTTTCAATTGAAATTATCATTTTGATGAAAAGTGCTTATACATAAAGGCATTTTTGCTTCTGCCTAAGCAATGTAGTCATGGCAACATTCATATTGGTATATGAATGAATTAAAGTTACATGTAGCAAGAAATATCTTTGTAAAAGAAAAACATAGGATCAAAAAGCACCACAAAGTTTCACCAGACACAACAGGACACACAATCATCACCTGTTAGAGTCTTCATGAACAAATCCTTCAAACTCATTTCTCTACGTCACGTGGATTACTGAATCTGATCTCAGTTTATAATCTGTCCAAAACTACCACGAATGTTAGGAGACGAAACTGTTTTTCAAATCTTGACACCTTTTAATTACAACAAATTTCGAGTAAATGTTGTAATTATTTCTAATATTTGCTGTTTTACATTCTCCTCACGTGTCAACCCCTATTTATTGTCACATCTGCACATGGGCGTAGGTTTGGGTAGGGACGGTAGGGACATGTCACGGGATATGAAAAAGTCCCGACCAATTTTTGCCATATTGGCTCAAAGAACGTGGATCTACGATCTTTGATTAGCAGCAACAGGCGGTGCGGAACGGAAGCTTCTTAGTTTGACATTTATTATGAGCCTCCGAGACCGTGTCGGGGGGGGGAGTCAGTTGAATCGTCGGACGTTCTTTGATTAGCTGCAAAAGGCGGCGGCTAGCTGGGCACACGCGTCTCCTTCTGAGTCGCCATGTAGCCACCAAAAAAGAAAAGGACAGACATTAGAAGTTATTTCGCTACGCCGGCTGTAAGTACAGTGAGTGGACCCATAAGTGAGATATCTATCACGCAACGCATTTGTTGTAAAGTCCGGTGTTTAGTAAGGTCAGCAGCACTGAATGTGAGGTAGAATAGGTCTGTTAATTATGTAATATTTTTTCACATAGGAAAACGATGGAGAACGATGGAGAGGTGGCTGGAGCTTCAGGGCTCCAGGTGAGGTGTTAGTTCTCAGATATGAAATATACAGTGTGAAATTATCTCAGTAAATATGGCATTTGAAGTGTTAGTCTTAAATTAAGTTAAGCTAGTGTGAATACAAACCAGGTTACGCTTTGTTTGCTCTTTGGGGGGGGGGTGTAAAGGTCCCCACCAAAACTTAGACCGAACCTACGCCCTTGCATCTGCATTCACCCTCACCACATCATCTCCCTGAATGACTGGATGAACCGGACAGGAAAAACTGCTGTCGGTCCAAACAGGAAGGCATCAGTTGTAAACGACAGAAAATAAATATAGAGTTGTGTAAGTTTGATCGACAGCGCAGGATTAAGGAATTATGCAACACTGTTGGGGGTAAAAAATAAATCCAGATGAGATTAGGGATCTGGATCCTCGCTCCGTTTATCCATTCATCATCTCTGCTGCTTTCTCTGTTTCATGCACTCTGGCACGACAGGTTTCATGCGTTTAAGTTTGCTTGGAGGAGCTGCACTAAGTATTTCAGCACGCAAAAAAATAATTAGAGATCTACTATACAGTCATGAATTGAATTAAACCGTAATGACGGGAGCTGAAGGGAGACTCCGCATTTATTCATCTCATCGCCACCTAGAGGTTAAAAGTCGTGCTGCAACAATTAGCTGTTTCCTTTGCTAGTAATTTCTGATCTGAAACTATTATCACTTTTACAAAATTGGGAAAAATCTCGAAGGAAAAAGTGAAGTAAATTATATACTTTAGTGAGTGATGAGCCATAAATACCAAATCAATTGTGTGTTAAGATGACTTTTCAGTGCTGGAACATTAAGTTTTCATACAATTTCATTTTGGGAGCAATTAAATTCTTGTTTTTACGTCTGAATTGCTTCACTGTCAGGCAACATTTTGGGTTAAAACTTCATTATTTCCAGACTTATTGACAAAACGCTCTAAATTTGCTTGAGTTTAGCAAAACTAAAGCAAAACATTCCCAGAGGCGTTGGATTCTTTGCACACATCACACATATTTCTATCCATAGACTTTATGTTTTTAAAGTTTTCACCTGCAATAATAATGGTTTATTACATATATAATTTGGTAAATGTATTTTATCCTGGATGTCGTTTTAAAGAAGATAAACTCTTCTAATCTTCATATTATCTTTTCAGGTAGAAGAACGTTGGCTTCCAGAATCAACAGCTAATATTTTAATCTGATTGTTCTCACTTGATATTTATGATTTTTACTCGAGAAAAATATTTTTTTAAAAGCCAGAAAATTTAATTTTTTAATTATTGCTTAAATATTGATAATCAAGGTTTGTGTTCAGAATTATATCAGCAATTATATAAAAAAAAGTTTGAAACTCTTGTCAGTACAAAAACCATAATTTATAGAAATTCCTGTTTTTTATATTTGTTTAACAGCTGCCTTTTGTACATTTTTAATCAACAAGTGACATTACAAACTTTGAAATGCTGCCTGTGCCTCTGGGTGAGATTTTGTTTGTCTTTGTTCCAAAATGATGTATTTCTCTAGAAAACCATGAGGTTTGCAGCCCAAATGTACAAATAAACGTTAAATATCAGAACTTTTAAATCCAGGGAGGCATATCACCACAGAAATAAAGTTAAAACTGTAATCATTTTGTCCACATCTACACTCATTAACAAAATTCTGTATGGCAAAGATGCGCACATTTGTCTTCTGACTTAACATTTATATAATTGTTGCTGACGTGTAAAACAGTTGCGCCAGTTGTCCACTTTTGTTTTTTGACAAATTATTTGTTTATTTTCCAAGCATCTGTTGAAATGATCCTGTAACTGAGGGACTGAATATTTTAAATCAAATCTCTTCTTTTCTAAACAGCTTTGGTGCTTAATTTGATCTACACCCAAATCTCTTGCGGTCTTTAATATGTACAAAACTTACCTTTTTATGTCTTCTCAAGTTTTTAAAGAAGTAAGCAGAGCATTTTTCTAATTACACCTGAAATAAATGTTTAAACACCATGGGAATACCCAGCCATCGGAAAGGAGATGAGGGAGTGGTGGTGGCAGCATCATGACTTCTAGTGCAGGAGAAACTGGTGCACTTTCCAAAATAACTGCAACCATGAGAAAAGAAGGTGTGTGGAAAATTTGAAGCAACAAACAGAAGTTAGAGAATTGGTACACTTTCTTCCACCACTTTAGGCTTTGTTCAATCTCTAACACAAATTTTTGTCATTGATTTTTTTTTATAATATATAAATATATATTGTTCAACTTTTTCACAGTTCAACCCCCCCAAAAAAGTCTGCTTCAAAATACTTTAGAGGAGCCACTGCAAATGTTTATTTTAAATTTTGTAAAGCAAATGTCACTCGGTCATTGTCTGAATCTGAAGCAGAAGCTCGTTACAACCTCAGGTAATGTGACAACTGGACAAAATATCAATATATCTTTTTTCCCCACTATATTTCTTTTTCTTTTCATCAACTTATTTTATTATCATTTTTGTACAGCACTTTGGCGCAGATTTAAACCTGTTTTTAAAGTGCTATATGAGTAAATTTGACATTGAGAAGTCTTTTATGTGAGTCAGCATAAAACTTTCACAGTGACATTGATTTCAAACTGAGATTGGAGCACATCTGTCAGACTGAGTTCAAAACTAGGAAGTGTGAAATGTATTGCGCATAAAGCCCTAAAAACAACACAATTTTAAAAAACTGCTCAGTCCAACACGTTACAGTGAACTGGTATAACAAAAGAAACAAAAACAAAACTAGCTTGAGACAGATTACATGTAGAAGCTGCAAACCGTATCTTCAGTTAATGTTTTCCTCCAGGAAAAGGCAAAAAGAAAAAAACACATTTAAACATGTTGAAACTTCCTTTATTAACATTTCCGATGTTGTGGGATGCTTGCTATTTTAAGAAGTTTCCTAAACCTAATCTTCCCTTGCACAAATATTTTCAAAAGCAACAAAGGTAAATTAAGTTAAAGTACATTGAAAGGCATCTTTGATGATTTGATGAGGGCTGAGTTCATTTAAATGATGAAAATGCTTGTCAGTAGTGTTTTCTTCATCTTGGTGCCCTTCGTGTTAAAGCACAAGCTGCTGCTTGGGGAAGCCTCCTACTATAAGCTGAAAGGCATGGACACAAAGTCAAAACAGTCAATAGAAAAACCCCTGTGCGACCAGAAAGTTCAGAGTTCAACTTCTGCTCCTTTTGCTTAGAAATATGCTTGACTTGGGAATCTTGGGGAGAGGGGGTGGGGGGGGCGTAAAATGTGTCCAGTTCCTACGTGATTAGCAGTAAGATGAATCAAACTGCTACCTAAACCAGGCAGTCTATTTTAGTTTAATACAAAACTGGGCAGGATTATTCTTCACACTCCTCCTGGTGAATCTGGGTCCATGTAAAGGGTCGGTTCGGTAACTTAAGTCGCCTCCTCATCAGTTTTTCTTCCGGGCGTTCCCAGCCATCGGGCTGCTGTTCAGCAGCCGGTCCCGCTCCCGCACCTCCTCCTGCAGCCTGGCCTCAGCCACCCGCAGCTGGCGGATGGTCGCCTTCATCTCCTTCATCTTCACCTCCATCAGCGCGATGATGTCCCGCTGCTCGTTCAGCTTCCGCAGCAGCTCCGCGGACGTGGTGCCGGTGGTCAGGGAGTACGAGTGGTCCAACGGGCTGCTGGTCACACTCAGGTACTGGACGGACAGCTGCTGCTGGTTGGCCCCGGAGTCCGCGGTTAAGTCTTCAACTTTGAGCTCCACCAGACTCTGCGGGGTGCAGTTACAGGGTCCCTCTGCCTGGGCGGGAAGCCGCGCCGTGCCCAAGTACTCCCCGTTGTTGCCTATCTGAACCACGGTGATGCTGTCGTCGCCGACCTCTCCTCCGATGGTGCCCTCGACGATGCCCGCCGTGTTCCCCAGCACGCTGGTGGCGACGATCCCGGGGGCAGGGGCCGAGTTGGTCAACTTCCTCCCTCTGCCCCGCCGACTCCTGCGCTCATTGACGCCCCGCAGGGGGAAGAGAGACGGCACCCGGACGATGTACGTCTTCCTTCCACCGGCGAAGTGCACGCTGCAGACGCGGTGGCCGGTGGTGGGCTGGAAGGTGCTGAAGCAGCCGCTGACCCCGGCCCGGGAGATGTTCCGCAGCCACTGCTCCCTCAGAGCGGGGTCCTTGGGGAACGTATAAAAGCGCAGGTCCTTGTCCCGGTGCGAGTTGTTGTAGCAGCCGGGAACACAGCAGGTGAACCCGGGCATGTTCTCTCAAAAGGTTAAGAAGCACAGCCTTTGTTTTTGGTTATTTTGTAGCTATTTCTTTTTTGTATGCGTTGTTATTAAGCTTGGCGGCCTACAAACGGAACTACACGTCCCACAAAGCTAACAACTTCCTGTTTATTTTGACCCAAAGTAAGCTGCTCTTCGGTACAAATCCACCAAAAGCTGTTAAAATTCAAAGCTTGTGGATCTCGTACTCACGCTAAATTTAAAGCAGACGAACTATTCATAGGTCTTTTTTTGCTCTTCGGAGTGTTATCTAGCCAGCCGTTGCTCACTGAGAACTAAAAGTCCCAGGATCCCTTGCGCGTCCTTTTTGACAGTGCCACCGATGCAGCGCCCCTTGTGGTCAAAAATAAATTCAGTTGCATCACCTTAGATCTCTGTTTCTATTTTTAATATTATTATAAGTAGTAGTTGTATTACTGTTTATGTCAATAATAAAAACGAGCTGGCTATTCATTGTGAGCTTAATATGTGCAGAACATTTTTCTCTTATCTTAATCGTGTGATCTGTTACATTTTCATTGACATTTTTCACAAGTTCTCTAAACTGACACTGCCCAAATGATGTTTGTATTGTTAAAATGTCTAATGTTTTTTAAAAATTCTCTGACTCTCTTTTTAATTCGATTATATGTAGGATTTTGGTACTATTTGATGCAAAGATTCATAAACGAAAACCATACATGAACGTTCCCGTGGAAAAGAACCGGTTGATTGAGCAGGTTCAGTCGCAAACGGCATTTAGTTGAGAGGGACTCTTTCCCACCTTTTACAGAACGACATTTGCAAAATTTCGTAAGATAAAGAGCTGTGTTCGTTTAACCACACAAAATATGCTTTCAAAACATTTTCATCTGGCGTAAATCTCGTATTTAAATCCGTATTCAGTGTTTTTCAACAATAACATTTCCGTTGACAGTATTTCCGGTTCCGCCCAACCGTTGCTACTGAAGTTACCGTCATTAGCAAATGGGCAGCGCCCCGGCTCAACCTATCGCTGCTGCGGACGATGACCCACCGGTAGGTACTCTGTGACATCTGTTCGTGTTCTTATGCCATATTAAGTGTATGACTTTAAAGAACCAGTGATAAATTTAAATTATGCTGTTAGGCGTGTAGAGTTGAAGGTTTATCGCGAGTTTTGGGAGTTCTCTCTGCATCTGTTTGTGCGGCTAGCTGGATGCGCTAGCCGACATGGTTATCAATTGTCTCTCTGTGTGGTTAGCTCTTCGCCTTTATCAAATACTCCTCATAATGGTGATACTTGTATGCCGCATCTGTTTTAATGTCGTGCATACTCGCCAGTAATGTCTGATTCTGATGAATAAACTTTTCTTTGAGCTGGTTTATCATCAGTCCACCTGACTGGACGCAGTTTCAGTAGATTTTCATGGTGACATTAAGTGAAAAAGCCTTGACCTGCTGATAAGTAGTGCGATAAGTGACGGTTTCCCTTGTTCCTGGTTCATGAGCGGGGAGAGTTTACTTCTGGTTTCACTGGTAATGCAGGTGCACAGGTGCTCACCCACACATCCTTTGTTCGCCTGGGATCATGATGTGATCTCATCTGTTTGCACACATGCATTAAATAGCCGCTCATAATCTACTAGCATAAACCTGCAGCACACAGCATGAGTAAGGGCTCCTTTCCCAAATGAAGGAGCATTAAAATAACTTTTAAATGATTCCAATTATCTGTGTTTTTATACTTATGATTAGACTTGTCCAAAAACTAATAAATTAGTTAGTTGCATAATAAATTAAAACAAGCTCAATAATTTCCATTTGCATGATTTGTTGTTTTTCTCTTTTCTGTCTTCCTATCAAAAACTGGATGACTGGGTTTTTTGAAGGACGGTTTTGTTTACACATACTTTCTAATTAATTTCATTTGTTGTTTCTGGGTTTTTTTTTATTTTGGATATTTAAAATGTCTTCCAGTTCCAGTGCTAAATGTTCATTAAAATTAAAAGTTCGATATTTGAGAATGTGTTCGTGCATTATTTTGCTATTACTTGAAAATGGACTCAAACTAACAATAATGTTTGGGACAATTTATATTCCAGTAAAAGTTATCTGACAGGCCTCCTTGTGGTACTATATATATCTGATGGGTGTAGAGCAGTGTGAAGAATGTGTCAGGACATTTTAAGGGCTTTCTGATAGGAGACCATAAGCAAGCCTGCTGTTTAGTTATAGAAATGTTTATCGTTGATCCTTTAAGATCCATTTATTCGTTTTCACAGGTAACTTCCTCTAACTTTCCCAAAAAAAAGCAGCTCTGCTGGTGAGAAACTGGAATGGATGGCTGTGGTCCACGTGTAAAGTAACGCCAAGTGGCAGGGCCATGTTGCCAGGAGTTGGTGTTTTTGGCACCGGGAGCACAGCCCGAGTGCTGGTCCCGCTGCTGCAAACCGAGGGCTTTGAAGTCCATGCACTTTGGGGACGAAGCGAAGAGGAAGCTTGCTGCTTGGCAAAGGAACTCGGCATCCCGTTTCACACCAGCCGATCCGACGACGTCCTCCTGCACCAAGACGTCGATCTGGTGTGCATCTACATTCCCCCCTCAATGACGAGACAGATTGCAGTCAAAGCACTGGGTAAGCTTTTTAAAATACCTTCACTGCTATTTAGATTTTAATTCTGATTAAATTAACTTTCTTTTGTTCTGAAAGCATAATCTTAAGACGTTTCCGTTGATTGTGATCTCACTGGGTGTGGCAGAGGAGACTTTCCTCAGAAAATATTTTCACGAACCGTAACATTTCCCCTGAGGGCTATCGGAGGAACTGATATGATATTTTTTTAAACTCTTAGAAGCAATCCTAACATTACTGTACCGGAGGGGCGTCGGTGTAAAGCATCTGTTGGAATTCTTCAGGGTTGAGCTCAGTTTCCTGTTTTGGTTACAACTTCCTGAATGTTTCCCTGCTGAAGGACTTGTCTGCAGCAGGGAAGCTTTCAAGAGGAGATTTGACACGCTGCTTATCGAACATCTCTGCATGCAGAACACACCCGGTGTGTGACCTGTGAAAGGACAGGCTGGACCAGCTGAAGCAGTCAGTCTGCTAAAATGCCTCCTACCTTGTTCAAGTTACAGTTACTGTAGACTTTGCTACTCCCAGCAGTGGTCACAATGCGGTGAAGATGTTTGCAAAACCTACAAGTGTTACATTTATTTTTGCGTTTTCAGACTGGGTGATAAATTGATTTTATCGTTTAATTGAATTTTTGTTTATTGAAGATTACATTTTTGGAAAATTAGGAAGTTTTGAAGTTATAATTTGATCTTTAAATGACTTTGAAATGATTGTGCAAACAAACAACTGAGTCTATTTTGAAGAAAGGCTGAACTAGTTTTGTTAGATCTCGATAACTCTAGAAGTTTTTTTTTTTCTCATAAACAACCTTTTCTTGTCATTTTAAGACTTTCTGGCTGTATTCTTGAAATTAAACAAAAACATTTTGCATCCTTGCCCTAATACTGTGTCGTTAAAAACTCACAGAAGGGATGATGAAAATAAATTTTTTATAATATTTTCTGTCATTTGTAACTTCTTTTTTAGAAAAGAAAGTGAGAAAAATAATAGCTTGAACTCGGATATGAAGTGAAAATAATCAGGTTTTAGTTCTAAGTCTCGTTGCTTAGCCGTGCTGTGTGAGTTTAATAGTTGAGTTTTAGCTGAGTTTCTCCATCTGTTCCCACTGTCTTACAGGTATCGGGAAGAATGTCGTGTGTGAGAAAGCTGCAACCGCTGTCGACTCTTTCAAGATGGTGACTGCAGCCAGATACTACCCCCAGCTGCTGAGCATGATGGGTAACACCCTGCGCTTCCTGCCGGCCTTTGTGGCGATGCAACAGCTGCTGGTGGAGGGCTACGTCGGGGACATCCAGGTGTGTGACGTGCGGGTCTACGGCCCGAGCCTCCTGGACCAGTCGTACGGCTGGACCTGCGAGGAGCTGATGGGCGGCGGCGGGTTGCACATCGTCGGGTCCGCCATCATCGACCTGCTGAGTTACCTCACGGGAACCAGAGCTCACCGTGTGCACGGCTTACTGCGGACCTTTGTGCAACAGAACAACCTGATCCGAGGCATCCGCCGCGTCACCAGCGACGACTTTTGTTTCTTCCAAATGTTGATGGGTGGAACCGGATCCTCGGGCGTGTGCTGCACCGTCACCTTGAACTTCAACATGCCGGGGTCGTTCGTGCACGAGGTTATGATCGTCGGATCTGCTGGCAGGCTGGTCGCCAGGGGAACCGAGCTGTACGGCCAACGCAACGGGAGCAAATGCGAAGAGCTGCTGCTGGCTGACGGCGGTGGCGTCGGACCGGAGGCGAAAGAGACGCCCCGCCCTCATCTGCAGGGGCTGAGCTCCATGGTGAAGGCGCTGAGGCAGTCCTTCCAGGCTCACGAAGAGCAGCGGTTGTGGTCACAAGGTCCGGTTGCCTCGGCGCCAACCTTCGAAGACGGCCTGTACGTGCAGACGGTGGTGGAGGCGGTCAAACAGTCCAGCAGCAGCGGGGAGTGGGTCTGCGTGGAGATCATGAGTCAGGAGCCGGACCCCAACCACAACCTGTGCGAGGCGCTGCAGAGAAACAAAAACTGAACCGAAACATTCACTGAGTGCAAAATCTACGTGCGTGACAGAACGGGACTCTGAACGTCTGTCTGTGATTCAGCTGCTCTGGCCGTTTACATCACACACACACACACACACACACACACACACACACACACACACACACACACGCACGACTACCTTCATGTTCACTTCCTCTCAGGTTTTGCAGATTAATATTTAGCCAACATAGACACAGCTGCATTGTGCGCCTGGAGGAAGGAGAGTACTCTAAATGTACTCCATCAGTAAACCACAGCCTTATTATTTGGGTTCGGACCAGTGGAAATACAGACAGCCTGGTGACAAACGTGTGCCAACAATCCTGTAGATGCTGCCTTCATCTGGCTCATTTCGAAGTTGAGAAGTAAGGAATGTACTCTTCTCAGTTTGTAAATGGTTTTGTGTCAGTAAGTCACAACATCGACATTTAATACTTGGTATTTGCACGTTTCAGAATAATGTATGTGCTTCATTTGTGCAACAAAGTCTGCAGTGAAATATTTTCACTCAAGTTTTGTATTTAAATTAGGACGAGTTGAACAGTTTTGTACTTAAAATCTAAATTATTGTTTGCCTAAACATCGGTTATATCACTACTTGTAGGTCACTATTATATTCACCAGAGTTTACTTTAGGACTAAATATGAAAGCAAGACGATAATTTGACTAAGGTGCTTTTCATAATTTACCTCTGATAGTTAAATAAGATCAGAACAGAAATAATAATGCTGTGGGACGTTTACATTTAGTTTTGTTTAATTTTAGCTCTAGTAATTTTGGTTAAAGTGACTCATGTAGCAAAATATACTGATAAAATAGCCAATCACTTCACAATTTTGAACATTTTAAATGTAACAAAGCTATAAACATAATAATTTACAAACAGTATAAGGAAGTATTTGAACAAAGAACATTTAGCCCATAATGTGAAAAGAAATATTCCTCCAAACATTAAATCAAAAATTCAAATATCTAAGAAACTAAAATGGGGATTAAACAAGTTTAAAATTATCTCTCATTATATAGAAAGTGCAGCCCAATGTGTTTCCTTAATAAATACTTAAATATAAAAGTCTACTGATACTTGATGAGCAGAACACCAAAGTTTCAAATAATCTGATTTACAGTTGTGTTATTAAATTACATCAGCTGCAGATATTACTATATTTCAGTGTAATAATCTATTATATTATTGGCAAAATGTTTGTTATTGACAAAAACTTTAGGATATTATTGACTTATTGCTGTTGGTTTATTGTTGGCTTTCTTGCATTAGAAATGGTCAAAATGATTTACATTATTGATTGCTACAGGTAACCTAACCAGATTATTATTATTTTTTCCTGTTGCAACACGCCGTGGCAAATATACCAGGGACTGAGTAAAATAAGCTATGTAGAGAACATGAATATCGATGGCCCCCTGAAAGCGACCAGGTAAGTTTGAATGTTTGTTTTGAGCGGCTCGCTGTAAATAAGCCAGAGGTTTCTCTTTACGTGCCGCATTTCCATTATTTTAAAAGAAATGTCCTACATTTAGATGAAAACTATAGTTATTGTAACACGGATGAAATGTGTTTTGGTAATAACTTGGATTTTCTTAAATAACTCGTGAAAAATCCGCCTACAATCTTTTTATCTATCAAAACTGACGGAAAGAATGAAGCCATAACATTTACCTGTTAGGTTTACCTGGAGATTTAAACATTTACAACTTATTTTAAAGATAAAAACTTAAGTTTACACTTAAAATTAAGAGTTTGATTCTAAATTAAAACGTAGTCCAGTGTGAGTGGGTCCGATCCGCCACATAGCAGCTGCCTCTTTGTTACAGTCAAAGCTCCAGTTATATGGGAATCAGGGGAATTTAAAGAGTATTTGATGTTATTTAATCTGTCCAATTTTTTTTGATCTGCTAGCGTAGATCTTAATATATTTGTTACATCTCATTTTCTCAGCAGGGCTGTAGTTTACATTAATTTCTTTAGAAAATGTTTCTGCTGAATCCATCACTGCTAAAACGCATTCCAGCTGATTTATTTTTTTAATCACCTTGTCAGCAGCTTTTCTTTGTCTTCACACTGATAAAATGCCACCTGTTTACTAAACGATTTAGTGCTTGCACCAGCCAGCTTGCTGCAAATGTGACTTCAACATTTATAATAAACTTTTGTATTTATTTATTGTTCCCTGGAGAAGGTTTGACATGTTTGTCCATTGTCTTTCAGCCTGTGAATTTCTGTTTTGATGCTGTAATATTTATATATCTTGTTTTTTTTTTAGTCTTGTTTTAACTAATATGGCATTTTGGGCACTAATTTGCTGCTTCAGAGTTGATAAACTGTACTTTTAATCTGTGTGACATATTTTTCTTTTAATAAATATAATTGTTTTANTTTTTATAATATTTTCTGTCATTTGTAACTTCTTTTTTAGAAAAGAAAGTGAGAAAAATAATAGCTTGAACTCGGATATGAAGTGAAAATAATCAGGTTTTAGTTCTAAGTCTCGTTGCTTAGCCGTGCTGTGTGAGTTTAATAGTTGAGTTTTAGCTGAGTTTCTCCATCTGTTCCCACTGTCTTACAGGTATCGGGAAGAATGTCGTGTGTGAGAAAGCTGCAACCGCTGTCGACTCTTTCAAGATGGTGACTGCAGCCAGATACTACCCCCAGCTGCTGAGCATGATGGGTAACACCCTGCGCTTCCTGCCGGCCTTTGTGGCGATGCAACAGCTGCTGGTGGAGGGCTACGTCGGGGACATCCAGGTGTGTGACGTGCGGGTCTACGGCCCGAGCCTCCTGGACCAGTCGTACGGCTGGACCTGCGAGGAGCTGATGGGCGGCGGCGGGTTGCACATCGTCGGGTCCGCCATCATCGACCTGCTGAGTTACCTCACGGGAACCAGAGCTCACCGTGTGCACGGCTTACTGCGGACCTTTGTGCAACAGAACAACCTGATCCGAGGCATCCGCCGCGTCACCAGCGACGACTTTTGTTTCTTCCAAATGTTGATGGGTGGAACCGGATCCTCGGGCGTGTGCTGCACCGTCACCTTGAACTTCAACATGCCGGGGTCGTTCGTGCACGAGGTTATGATCGTCGGATCTGCTGGCAGGCTGGTCGCCAGGGGAACCGAGCTGTACGGCCAACGCAACGGGAGCAAATGCGAAGAGCTGCTGCTGGCTGACGGCGGTGGCGTCGGACCGGAGGCGAAAGAGACGCCCCGCCCTCATCTGCAGGGGCTGAGCTCCATGGTGAAGGCGCTGAGGCAGTCCTTCCAGGCTCACGAAGAGCAGCGGTTGTGGTCACAAGGTCCGGTTGCCTCGGCGCCAACCTTCGAAGACGGCCTGTACGTGCAGACGGTGGTGGAGGCGGTCAAACAGTCCAGCAGCAGCGGGGAGTGGGTCTGCGTGGAGATCATGAGTCAGGAGCCGGACCCCAACCACAACCTGTGCGAGGCGCTGCAGAGAAACAAAAACTGAACCGAAACATTCACTGAGTGCAAAATCTACGTGCGTGACAGAACGGGACTCTGAACGTCTGTCTGTGATTCAGCTGCTCTGGCCGTTTACATCACACACACACACACACACACACACACACACACACACACACACACACACACGCACGACTACCTTCATGTTCACTTCCTCTCAGGTTTTGCAGATTAATATTTAGCCAACATAGACACAGCTGCATTGTGCGCCTGGAGGAAGGAGAGTACTCTAAATGTACTCCATCAGTAAACCACAGCCTTATTATTTGGGTTCGGACCAGTGGAAATACAGACAGCCTGGTGACAAACGTGTGCCAACAATCCTGTAGATGCTGCCTTCATCTGGCTCATTTCGAAGTTGAGAAGTAAGGAATGTACTCTTCTCAGTTTGTAAATGGTTTTGTGTCAGTAAGTCACAACATCGACATTTAATACTTGGTATTTGCACGTTTCAGAATAATGTATGTGCTTCATTTGTGCAACAAAGTCTGCAGTGAAATATTTTCACTCAAGTTTTGTATTTAAATTAGGACGAGTTGAACAGTTTTGTACTTAAAATCTAAATTATTGTTTGCCTAAACATCGGTTATATCACTACTTGTAGGTCACTATTATATTCACCAGAGTTTACTTTAGGACTAAATATGAAAGCAAGACGATAATTTGACTAAGGTGCTTTTCATAATTTACCTCTGATAGTTAAATAAGATCAGAACAGAAATAATAATGCTGTGGGACGTTTACATTTAGTTTTGTTTAATTTTAGCTCTAGTAATTTTGGTTAAAGTGACTCATGTAGCAAAATATACTGATAAAATAGCCAATCACTTCACAATTTTGAACATTTTAAATGTAACAAAGCTATAAACATAATAATTTACAAACAGTATAAGGAAGTATTTGAACAAAGAACATTTAGCCCATAATGTGAAAAGAAATATTCCTCCAAACATTAAATCAAAAATTCAAATATCTAAGAAACTAAAATGGGGATTAAACAAGTTTAAAATTATCTCTCATTATATAGAAAGTGCAGCCCAATGTGTTTCCTTAATAAATACTTAAATATAAAAGTCTACTGATACTTGATGAGCAGAACACCAAAGTTTCAAATAATCTGATTTACAGTTGTGTTATTAAATTACATCAGCTGCAGATATTACTATATTTCAGTGTAATAATCTATTATATTATTGGCAAAATGTTTGTTATTGACAAAAACTTTAGGATATTATTGACTTATTGCTGTTGGTTTATTGTTGGCTTTCTTACATTAGAAATGGTCAAAATGATTTACATTATTGATTGCTACAGGTAACCTAACCAGATTATTATTATTTTTTCCTGTTGCAACACGCCGTGGCAAATATACCAGGGACTGAGTAAAATAAGCTATGTAGAGAACATGAATATCGATGGCCCCCTGAAAGCGACCAGGTAAGTTTGAATGTTTGTTTTGAGCGGCTCGCTGTAAATAAGCCAGAGGTTTCTCTTTACGTGCCGCATTTCCATTATTTTAAAAGAAATGTCCTACATTTAGATGAAAACTATAGTTATTGTAACACGGATGAAATGTGTTTTGGTAATAACTTGGATTTTCTTAAATAACTCGTGAAAAATCCGCCTACAATCTTTTTATCTATCAAAACTGACGGAAAGAATGAAGCCATAACATTTACCTGTTAGGTTTACCTGGAGATTTAAACATTTACAACTTATTTTAAAGATAAAAACTTAAGTTTACACTTAAAATTAAGAGTTTGATTCTAAATTAAAACGTAGTCCAGTGTGAGTGGGTCCGATCCGCCACATAGCAGCTGCCTCTTTGTTACAGTCAAAGCTCCAGTTATATGGGAATCAGGGGAATTTAAAGAGTATTTGATGTTATTTAATCTGTCCAATTTTTTTTGATCTGCTAGCGTAGATCTTAATATATTTGTTACATCTCATTTTCTCAGCAGGGCTGTAGTTTACATTAATTTCTTTAGAAAATGTTTCTGCTGAATCCATCACTGCTAAAACGCATTCCAGCTGATTTATTTTTTTAATCACCTTGTCAGCAGCTTTTCTTTGTCTTCACACTGATAAAATGCCACCTGTTTACTAAACGATTTAGTGCTTGCACCAGCCAGCTTGCTGCAAATGTGACTTCAACATTTATAATAAACTTTTGTATTTATTTATTGTTCCCTGGAGAAGGTTTGACATGTTTGTCCATTGTCTTTCAGCCTGTGAATTTCTGTTTTGATGCTGTAATATTTATATATCTTGTTTTTTTTTTAGTCTTGTTTTAACTAATATGGCATTTTGGGCACTAATTTGCTGCTTCAGAGTTGATAAACTGTACTTTTAATCTGTGTGACATATTTTTCTTTTAATAAATATAATTGTTTTAATTTAAAGGCCATTTTCTGACCTGAGTGCATCATTTCTCTTATATAACAAAACAAATTAAAACAGTATCTTGAGAATTTAACTTGGTGCTAAATATATCATCCATTTAATGTATTTTCTTCTTTGCATCTTTCCTGTTTTTGGTTTGTTCGATAGGAATGTTGCTCATTCTGCCTTTTTGTATCAGGACTTCATAAGTTGACGTATGTCGACTTATAATAGTCTTTGTATAGAAGAAAAAATGGTAAATGAGACTTTCTGAAATGTAACATAAAAGAAAATGTAAAATGGTCATTTCTATGTAGGCCATGTCATTATCGAGCTTTTTTGACAAAACGGACAACTAGCAAGCTTGAACTTTTTTAAACAATTGTTTATGTTGCCTACTTCGATATTAAGATACTGTAGCCCCCTCGATATGGAATTCATGTGTAGCCTTCCATTATAAACATTCACCAGTAAAATTTATACATAAAAGCATCAAAAATAACTTAAAAACCAAAAATGCATGTTTCCTAAAAAGATATTATCCATAGCATCGCGCAAAAGCTGCATATCAAATCATCATAGTCATTATTTTTGTTTGACCTTTTTCTCATAAATCACTTAGACAATATATTCATTTTCAAGACTTTAGCCCTTTACATGTCAGCTCAATTATTTGAAATAATAGTTGACAATGTAGTACACAAAACGCTAAATGTTTGTCCATAAATTACATGATACAGTGCTTTGGAGGTTGAATATATAAAAAAAAATCACCATTCTGTCCAGCTGGTGGCGCCAGCGCAGCCCTGAATAGTAGTAGTAGAAGAAGAGCTGGAAAAAAAGAACGCAGTCTGAGTCAGTTCGGCTAACTTAGCATGACAGCTAACGAAGATCAGCCAACGGTCAAATATTCGTTTTAGACCAAACTGGGTCATCGGTACCGTGTGGTATGGGACCCCGAAAGGTAAAGCTGGACACATACCGTAAGAGAAGCGTGGTGTGGAGCTTTTTTACAGATATAGACGAAGGGTCGGTGCAGTGTGTGCTGTGTAATCGTTACCTTCATAAGAAGGAGCACGGCTCCACCACTCCGATGCTAAGACATCTGCGCCTCAAACACCCCACACAGGTCTACAGAGGGATGGAAAGAGACCACGAAGCTTCCGCCAGCCACGACCACCAACATATGGAAATAGATGATGAACAGATCATCTCTGGTATGCCTTCCTGATTATTTCCTGTGATTAGTTTGTCCATTTCATCCCTGACTGCATGTAATCTGTTGTTGTTTGGATTCTTAAAACAGTGTGAATGCTCATTCATCATCTGATTTATAAACTTTGCAGTTACCTTTCAAATACAACATGTTGTGTTTGTGTGGATGGATATACGCCCAGTTTTCAGAAGATTTTAAATGGAGTCCCCCACGGCTCAGTTTTAGGCCACTTTTTGTTTTTCATCGTCATTCAGCTGAAGTTCACTTTTATGCAAATGAAACCTTACTTTATTCATAGCTGCTGCAGGATAGCTTAAACCTGGTTCTGAATGTAAACTGCTAAAGTTTAGTCTTATGTGGAGCATTTAAGTGAAGATGTATTTTCGGGCTGAAATAGTGTCTTTAATTATGGGAATAAAACCAGTTTAAATTCTGTATTTGAACTTCTTTTGATATATGGATATTATTTATATTCCTGGTGCTTCCTCCAGTGTTTATGTTTTTGGGATGAAATAAAGTACATCCCGGTATTGGCAGCAGGAAAATTGACACTTCCACCTCTGCTTTTTGATTCTTTACATATAAATAGACAGAAGTAGCCTTATAAATGACGCTTAAGAAATAACACAGCAAGGAAGCCAGACATAATGCCTTCTGCTTTTAGAGACAAAAATTAGTTTTTTTTAAGAAAACACCTTTTTGTTTTGCAGTTGTAGTGTCGGTGGACGATGATGAATCCAACACCAGGACCACCCAGAATGATTCTGATCCCAGCACTGCTGTCAGTGGCCTCTATGAGACGTCACCACGAGGCTCGCTAGCTCATCTAATACACGAAGATGATTTTAGCCATATTCCCAACAAGCAGTCACGCAGGCGCAGCTTGATTTGGAGACTGTTTGAACATTTGGACAACTTGAACGCCGCCCGCTGCCGCATTTGCATGAAGAAGTTGCACAAAAGTGGCGGCATTAGCAACCTTCGTCGACACTTGGTAAAGAGGCACCCAAAGGTGCTGTCAGAGCTGCTGTCCACCAACCACCGCCCTGCTGTGCCCTCACAGGATGTAAATGTAGCCGGTGTCTCTCGTGAATCCTACATAGGAACAGAGCCCCATCAGGCTCCAGGTATGTTTGGTCAATGAAACCACTTCTCTTCATGTGTAGTTTTATCGATGAGGGGACAGCATGGCCTCTTGTCATCATCAGAGCTTCTTTAGGATGTTTATTTTTCTCTTCTTGTGTAGTGAAATTGGTTTTGGATGATGGGGAATCTCACATTATGACCACACTGAATGAAACTATTCCAGGGATAAACAACCTTCCAGGCATGCCACAAGGGGGATCGGCTGAGAAAATAGTAGAAGCAGAGGTAAACTATTTGTCCACTTAAAGAATTACAGTTAAAAGAAAATATTTTCTTCTCACTGTCTGGCTTTAAATTAGCTGAAGCTTCTCCTGTTTGAGATCAGATTTAAAAAAAAAAAAAGATTTCTGCTTAAGTCTATTTAACTCAGACGCTTACAAAGCCATCATCATCTGGGCTTTCCTGTATTGTTTAAAAACAAAGGAATCTCAGTTTATGTAAGCCTCTGATTGTGGTGTAAAAGAAAATTTCTCCCTTTATTATTCTGGCATTTAGCAAACATAAATATTATAACAGTGCGATAAAGCAGAAAAATCTTCATATACATGTAAATATTTTAATTTAACTTGCATAAAGAAGCATTCTAAATAAAACTTAAACCACAGGAGATTAAATATTCTTAACTGCTGCAACTGCATGTAGAAATCTCAGCGTTTCAGAGGTTGTATCTCTTCCAGCCTGACCAAAATACATGCAGTGTTATTTTAAAGTTTGTGTCCACTAAGCTACACTGGAGAACTTTTCTTCTTCTGCAGGATTCAAATGCTGACGGAACGGGGGGAACCATGTGGGACAGTGGACAGAAATGGTTTCCAGGTGAGCGTCTGTTGCTCTAACTTGTCTTATTATTATTTTTGGTGAACCTTTCTTCCAAAGGTGAGTGTAAATTTTAACTTGGTAATCTGAATGTAATCTGAATTTCTAGACTTAACCACTTCCTGAAAGGGAAATTTCTACCCTGACCATGGATTATCCCTCACTAATCTGGACCTCAGAGTCCTAAATGGTTCATGTATTTGCATAAAATAAAATTTTGATGACTCTTTTAGATGTGACTACTGCATATTTTTGATGTGTACCTGTTTGAGCACGGGGGATTTTCATTAAGAGGCAAAGACAAGCAGGATTCTGGTCCCAATGATCATTTCACACCTTTATGTAGAAAATCATAATAGCTGCAGTAATAAATGGTGTTTTTGCAATTCTTAGTTTGTTGGATTAAACCAGCTGCACTCATATTCAGACAACTTACTGCTACTGACTGTAGGAAAGTTATTTTAGACACGGAGACTTTAGAACCGCATTTAAAGCCTCGATAATAACTGGTATTTTAAATTTCTTTTTCATCAGTGGAAGTTAGAGTGGAGGACGACAGCTCTGACGTCATGACCCCTTCTATCGAACCTGATGGCAGTCATATCATAAACGACAATCCCGACTCTTTGCAAGAAGGCTTGGCACAAGACGCGTTTCATTCAGAGGCAGGTGAAAACTCATCTGAGAGACCGCAGACCAAAGACCGCAGAAGGAGTGTGATCTGGAGGCACTTTGAGAGATTAGAGAGTTCAGAAGCAGCTCAGTGTCGCATTTGTATGAGGAAGCTGCAGTGCTACGACAGCGGCTGCACCGGTAATCTCCACCGGCATCTGTCGAAAAGACACCCGAAGGTGTTTTCTGAGCTGGGATCCAACTCGCTCAAACAGTTGTCACCAGACTCAAATGGCCACGGTGGAACAACCGAAAGTCCGTTAATGAAACACGAACTTTCAGGTAAGTCTCTATTGCTGCTTTTTAAAGTGTTTATGATTTTTAAAGTTCAAAATTAATATTTTGCATGTTGTGTATTTCCATTTGGCTCTCAACTGCTTCCAAAAACATTCCAAGCACTTAATCATTTTTGGCAGTAAGGTTTTTTTTTTTTTTTTAGTGTCTGGAAAATGAGCCGTTTCATAAAGCTCTCAAATGTTAAGTCACAGTCACAGGGCATCCAACCGTTACCTAGCAACCCCAGCAGAGTTCCAGCACGCTTGATTAGCTGGCTTTATACCACTGTATGCGCTGTATAATGGCTGCTGGAAAGGACAGGTGTATTGTTGTGGACTTAACATCCAGAAACCACTTGCAGCTTTGTTGGTTGTGTAATAAGTTCCACTTCTGTTTTTCAAAGATATACAGTTCTGTAATTGCGCATCTGTTTACAGTCGTTTTGATGAGCAACTGTAATTATTGAGTTGTGGGCGTGGCCAGCAGCAGCTTATTTGGATTTAAAGTGACAAGATGCACTAAAACAGCTCAAAGTAGACAAAACTGACCAGACTAAAATCTCATCATTTAAGAAAGACTTTGTGCAAAAAACACCTTGAACATGTTTAGCAGAGCTTATCGATGTATTCTAAGCTCTTAAAGGAAGCATAGTAGGTCACCTTTAAAGCTTTCGGTTTTATATTCCTTCACTATCGATCATAAATATATGTTCACATCTGCTTTACAGTGAGACCGTCTTTCCCTTCAGCTGGACTGAAGATCTCCAGGCAACCAGAGGTGGAGGTCAGGGTTTTTGAACGGGAGCTGGAGCTGATTGAAGCTCTGAGAAGAACACAGAGGGAGGAGGCTCAGGCTCTGCAGCAGCAGCGGGAGCTGCTGGAAAAGCTGCAGACAGTCGGCGCCAGAGAAGCCGCTGCAGAGAGGGAGACGATCGAGTCGCTGAGGAAAGCCCAGCAGGAGGAAGCCGACGAGTTGATCCGACAGAGAGAGGAGCTGGAGAAGGAAAAGGTGGAGCTGCGGAAGAAGTGGGAAGAGCTCTACCAGGAAAAGGAAGAATTCTCATTGCTCTCCAAAAGCAAAGTGACCCACTGATTCTTAGCCTTTCTGAAAGGGTTAGACTAATTCTAACACGGGGTGATGTAATAGATATATAGTTAACTTCCCTTCCAAGTAAAACATGTTTTTCCAGAAAATTGATGCACAGTGGCTCAGTTCCTGTTCCAGCTGATGTTTTCTTTTAAATATGGAGGAATCTGACCCGGGACGATGCTTCTGCCTTCAAATTACTCTGTATTCAGATGCACTCACAAGTGGCTTTGTAATGTGTAGCATGTAGATTATATAAGCTTTTTTTAAATAGAGTTTGAAAAATGAACTTCCATACTGTAAGATGTATAACTGTATATAGAGCATTTTAAACTTGTAAACACTTAAATTCATGGTTCAGACTTTAAATAGAAAAAAAGCATTGGAGAAATGATTTTTGTGGACTTTTTCTTCTCATTCTCATAAATATGGTTCATTGACATTGTTTGCTTTGTCTTTATTAAGGTTTACCTTTTCTGTAAAGGTAAACCTTTAAAGGAAATCAAATCAAATTTGATTTCGTGTTAAGCAGGTTTTGCACCAAACTTTTTTATATTTTAAGGTAATGTTTACAGTAGGCTTGTGTTAGTAATTTTGGTGCTATGAATACTTAAACCCAGTTAAATGTACATGCAAGATAAATAAAATGTGGAGAAAAGATGTTTATACCAATTTTTTTAAATTGAAATCGACTATATATTTTATGTATATATATATATATATATGTATAATCACAGAAACAGTTTTAAAAACCTTGAATCATGTTTATACAGGTAACTATATTAATGGCATCCTTTTAAAGTGATTACAAAGTGTACAAGAATAAATACAGAGCATAGATTTATAAGATTGAAATTAACAATTGACGTTAAAGTCAAATATCTATAGATAGGAGTAATTGTTTTAATGTCTAAAGCTAACATTCTTATAAATTAGAAAAAATTACTTCAAAGGCAGTACAAATAATTATCACAGTGAAGATTTAGGCCAGAATTCATAAAAACTAAAAGAACTCATTTATGAAAGCGAATGATTTATGTTTGGTGTGGTGCGCATGCGCAAATAAGCGGGGTAATTCACCCCAAAAGTTGTCTACTCAGGTTGGGTGTTTAATTCCGACAGTAATAAGTGGGAAGTTTTGTTTCATGTAATAATATGCATAATAAAACGCTCCTTGACGAACTCCAATATGTAACAGGACAATGTTATAGACGTAAAGCCGAAGTTGTTGCTGCAGCGCTACCTGCCAGGCTAAACCGAGGGAATATTAGCACACTGATGACGTTGACGCCGGAGTAGCTTTCGTGTGGCGGAAGATGGCTGACAGCGTAGCTCTGGTAGCCAAAAGATGCGACTCTGGCTCTTTATCGTCTGTGAGCATGGAGACCATCTCCGGGCTGACGGAGCTGGATGACCTGGAGCGGGTTTACCAGCAGCTCTGTACCGAGGAGGTACGTATTGGAGGCAGAGCTCAGTCTGTTGCCTACGTCACCATGTAAACTTCCGCGATGCTGCTGCCTTCAGTCATAGAGCTAACAAAATCCGCTGTTGATTAATTATCAAAGGATCTAGACCAAAGCTACCTCTTTCTGTGTTTTAGAAACTACTGCAGTGTTCTGTGTTAAAAACCGTATTACAGTTAATTACAGCGGAGTTTAGCAAAAGAATAAAACAGTCAAACCTGTGTCAAAGCTGCTATCCAGACTTTTCAAGTCAAATCAACTTTAGACATTATTTTTCACCTTTAATTGTTCTGCTTGTTGTGCTATTTTATTGTAAATCATCTTTTAATCACTGTTAAAATATGAGTGCCTACCCCATAGAGACGTAAGGAATTATATGTGTTTGTATGTTGTGCGTGAATTTGAGGAAAACAATAAAACGTATTACAGACGACCAGGACAAACAGCCTACTGCACATAATTTCTTATTTATGTGTTATAGTTCTTAAAATAAAACATACAATGTGTGACAACTGGAGTCACATAGTTAAATCTGCCAGGAAATGCCTGATGGATGCATCTCTGTGCTCGAGTCTCACTAAAGATTTCTGCACCCAATGGTGAAATTCACTTTCTGCCTGTAGAGGCCTTAAAGAGGTTTGTATAACAAAGCTGAGGAAAAAGCTTAGTTAGAATATTGGGAAATACTTTTTCATTGTTTATTGAGAGGTAAATTATTGGCCCGTACTAGAAAATGTTCACAGAATTTAGTCCCCATATAAACATAGAGGGTTTCAGTATAGCGTAGGTTGTGCAAAGGCTACTAGACTAATTTAGAGAAGTTGAGCTACTAAATCAAATGAAAGCAACTAACAGTCGCTGTTTCTGGGGAGAATATAACATGGCCACAACAGAACATTTATTTGTTTAGAAAATATTTTTGTATGTTTACATTCTCCAAAGATAACTCTATTTTTAGGGGGGGGGGGGAGTTCTCCAAAACATAATCAAATGAGCAAAAGTAAAGTCTTGAAATATACATTTGAGCATATGAATTTATCCTATGTGACTAAGTTGATGTTTTGTTGAGTTAGACCTTTATGCAAACGTCTTGTGACTGTACTGCATGCATGCTGCTTAATTTAAAAATACTTGTGTTTGTTCTGTTTATTACAGACAGAAGTGGAAGCTGAGCTCGACAGGCTGGTGGGGCAAGAGGGGAGCATTCACACAAAGATGCTGGCACTGCAGAGGATGGGGTAAATATATATATATATATATATATATATATATATATATATATATATATATATATATATAGTTTGCTTTTTTTTTTTTTTTTACAGCGAAAATATATCTTTT